CCCCAATCCAAGAAGCAACTGTTCCCGTCTTGTAGTGTAACCGCTGCTTTTCTTTATGGTGATATTAGGTATATTTGCAGCCATAAGTACATCAGGTCATTCACCTCTTGAACTTTGCATACATGGACATTGGGGTGTCTACACACACACACACACACACACACACACACACACACACTTCATTACCTACTGCACTTAACAAATCAGAAGTGGTTTTCTCCTCAAAACTCTTCCTCCTCACCTCCAGACCCAGGCTCTCATTTAAGGTAAAAGTTGCCAGGTGCCCAAGCTTAACCAACACCTCCTTCCCCTCCTATCTTTATTACCACCAGCCTAGTCCAAGCTCTGTCATCTGTCCCCATCAGGTCTGAGGCAAGAGTGACCATCACTGCTTACGCAGGCGACCACTCACCAGCCCAGGTGGGCGGAAGAGTTCCTGTTCCTGCAGAGTCCTGTTGGAGGTGGTGTGAGGAGGAGCAGCCTGGCATGTTTATGGGGGGAGGACAGGGGTCACCTTGAACTGTGCGCTGGGTTTGTCCTTGCCAACAGAAAGAACATTCTCCCACACCCCTGGCCTCGGGAGGGTGTTGCCTATCAGAAGTCTTGAAGCACCCCACATTGGAGGGGGGATACCAGGGGTCACCTAGTCACAGATTAGCTTGTCCCTCTTCAGGCTGGACTTCCTCAGCAGTTCCTGCTCCCGCGCCTGCCTACTACACAACAGCCACGCATATTCTGCCCAATTTGTGTTCAACACCACCTCAGGGGCCGGGGTCTACATGTGTGTGCCCCCCAGAATCCCAATGCTGAAACCTAATCTCCATGCAACAGTGGGGCCTCCAGGAGGTGATTGGGCAGGGGGTTACACCCTCGAGAAGGGGACGGGGCCCTCATAAAAGAGGCCAGAGAGAGCTTGCTCACCCCTCCTTTCAGGGGCTACATGGAAGGCACCATCTGTAGGGAGCAAACTCTTACCAGACACCAAATCTGCTGCCCCATGGGCCTCCAACCTCTGGAACAGGGAGCCATACTTCCTGTTGTTTATTAATTACCCAGCATAAGGGGTTCTGCTGAGCAGCTCCAATGAGCTCAGACATGGACTTCCACGGTCCATCAACCAAACCCTTCTATGGCCAAGAGGCCCTATGGGGTCTCACCCTGCCCACTTCCCATCCTCCCCCACTCCTCTGTGCCCACTGGACTCCCTGCCCCCTTGGTGCCCTTTCTGCTCCTCAAGACTCATTCTGGCCTCGGGACTTTCCCCCGGCAGTGTCCTCTCTCTGGAGCACCGTCCATGTGATCTTTTCAGGGTAGAGACTTCTTGCTTTTCATTCTCAGCTCATACAGATCTGCTTCTTCCTAGAGGCCTCCTACCCAGGGCCCTCATGACACGTCTCTGTCCTGTCGGTTTCTTTGGTGGCTCTGGCATACTTGGCAATATTTCTTAATTTGTCCTTCCTCTCTGCCTCCTCCCCTGGAATGCAAGCTCTAGGAGGGCAGGCCCTAAGTCTGTCCTGCTCAACACACCCGGGGCTGCCCACTGCCCAGGGCAGGAAGAGCTCCCCAAACGTTGCACCTGGTCAAGTCCCTGCCTGCCCTTTGCTGAGCGTTCACCAACCCCATCTGCCACCCAGGTGCTGCCACCTCACTGAGCCCCTCTTCCCTTGGCCCCTGTTCCTTGCAGCCCTGGAGCCCCAGGTCTCTGTCTCCCCTCTGGGGTCCAGCTCAGTTCAGATCAGAGGCTGCCAGTGGTCCACCAGTCTTCGGATCCTGTGAGGGTTAGTTCCCAGTGTCATCTGGACTGGACTAGGGATGCTGAGAGAGTCGGTGAAGCCCACCTCTGGGTGTGTCTGTGAGGGTGTTTCAAAGAAGATTGGCATATGGGTGACCTAGGTGGAGGAGATGGGCCCTCAGTGCGGGGACACCATCCGATTGACGAGGGCCTGAATGGAACAGGGACGAGAAGGAATGGGTAAATTCTTTGGTCCTTCCTCCCTGCGCGGGCGTGTCTTCTCTTGCTGGGCCCTTGAACTGTGGGACTTGCACAAGCTGCCCTCCACGTCTCCCTGAGACTGAGGCCTCTGACTTTGGCCTCCCCAGTTCTGAGCCTTCATAATCTATTGACTCAGTTTCTCTGGAGAACCCCTACTAATGCAGATTTGATCTAAAGTCTCAGTCCTGGAACCCTGTCATTCTGGAAGATCTCAAGCTATTGAAGACAGCAGGAAAAAACAAACAAAAAAAAAAAAACCCCAACACTGTGAACCCTGGCATCGGGGCTGGGAAGCAGGGGTACACCTCCTGCTCCTCCTGACTGAGTTGACAAGTTCCTGTCACCCCGAGGAGTCTCCCAGAACCACACAGGACTCCAAACTGTTATTCTCCTAGCAGCCAGTCAGACTGTGGCTTGGCCAAGGTATGAGGGGAGCCAGGCCCTGGTACCTGGGCAGGTTCCCTGGCAACACATAGGGCCCCAAATTTAGACCCAGGTCCCTGCTGGACACTCGGGGATTGCTGTGGCTCCCTGGGCATCAATCATCTCTTTTCCACCCCTCCCCTCCCTTTGGCACCTGCTAATCCTTTGCACACGGCCCAGCCCCCGCCAGTTAATCCCCCAGGGCCTCAGAGGCCAGTCCACGAGTGGCAGCGAGAAGGTGATTCCTGGCTGGCAGTTGGCATCTGAGCAGGTAATTCAGGATGAGGTGGTGGCTTGGTGGGACCCCAAGGGTGTCTACATGCTCAGCTTCCAACAAGGCATTTAATCAGGACCAAAAAGACAAGGCTTCCCTCTCTCCACCTCTTCCTCCCTCTGCAGGGCTGAGACTTTAGCATGAGTCAGGATCTTTGGGGCAGCTTGGGAAAAGCAGATTTCTGGACCCTCCCCAGAGGGTTTGGAGGGACCTAGGAGTCTGGATTTTCAACAGCTTCCAAGAAGATACTGAAAATGCTGGTGATCCAATACCATGGTTCCCCGGGCTGCCACTCCCAGGTCCCTGTCTGTCCTGAGTCTCCCTCATAAAGTGGAGTCAGCAAGATGTGGCAGCAAGATGGGTGGGGGTGGGGCTGCCCACATTCCTTCCCATCCAGGAGGAACTGGCAGTGACTAGGGGAAGAAGAAAACTTCCCTAGGGCTTGGAGACAGCTTCCCCAGGCATTTCTAGAAGATTCATACCAAGTCACGGTCAGTTGTTGCTCACCAGGAGAGGACCTACAGGTCAGGCCTGTAGAAGAGGCCAACTCTTGGCAACTTCAGTGCCCCTGGGGCAGATGTCGGGCAGATGACAGGCAGCTGAAATTGGGCAGACTTGTGTGCAAACTCAGCTTGGTCAATCTCGGTCACAACCTTTGACCCGTTTGTGCTTCATATGAAAATACTGATCTCGCTGTGTGGAGTGTCATGCGGCTGCCTGACCCCAAACGTGTGACCTTGAGCTGTCCCGATCTGGGAAATCTCTGTATCCATGTGCCCCACCCAACAGGGACCCGGAAGACAAGAAGGGTCATGTCTGGCCCAAGTTCACCTGTTTGGAGGCTGATCTGACTCCTTACCCAGAGCTCCGTCCCCACCACAGCTTCTCATGGGAGAAGGTGGGCTGCTAAGACCAGAGCAGGGACAGAGGTCAGGGTGGTGTGGCCAAGGGCACTGGGGAGCTGAGCGCTGGGGCAGGGATCCTGGGGCCTGAGTCTACCCTTTCCAACATGGGGCTGGGGTCCTTGGCAGAGAGGGGCATGGCCTTGGGCAGGCTGGCATCCAACATGGCCTTGGAAGGGGCTGTCCAGGGCTAGGAGTTGGTGCGTTGACCTGTATGGTGGTGACCGGGCCAGGCTATCCTGCAGGGGTCTGGTCTCACGGTTCCATGTACTTCTCATTCACAGAAGACAGTGGACTGGAGGCTGAATTGTGTGAATACCAATCACCTTAAACCAAAAAGAAGGTCCAATGGGTGTTTTATCTTAAAAATTAAAAAATCATGAATATTGGTTAATGTTATCTTAAACAGATCAGATTTTCCATTCTTATGTTAATTACAAAGTATACTTTTATTTATTATGAGATTATGCAGTTATGCAGTACATTATATTCCATGATTGGCATCTTCACTAGATATCATAGAGTAGCCACGGGCAACATTTATGAAGCCCTGGGCCTGTGCCGGATCTCACTGTTTTGAGTATGTTGTACTTATTAATTCTTTTATCCTCACAATCTGCCCACGAGGTAGGTAACTATCTAGGTGCCTTTTTGTGTGTGTGTGATGCTGGGGATTGAACCCAGGGCCTTGTGCATGCGAGGCAAGCGCTCTACCAACTGGGTTATAGCCCTAGTCCTATGTGCCTTTTTTTTTTTTTTTTGTATCAAGGATTGAACCCAAGGATGCTTAGCCACTGAGCCACATCCCCAGCCCTCCCCCACCCACCCCTTTTTAAAAATTGTTAATTTTGAGACGGGGCCTTGCTAAGTTGCTTAGGGCCTTGCTAAATTGCTGAGGCTGGCTTTGAACTCGTGATCCTTCTGCCTCAGGCTCCCAAGACATCAGTGCACCCATTTTACAAGCAAGCCAAACTAAGGCTCAGAGAGTCTAACTGATCTTCTCATGGCTCAGCTCCCTGTGCGTCTTCTCTGGTGATTTCTAACTGATTTGCCTCTTCCTTTTTAATGGGTCCCTATATTCCAGTATTGAATGTCCCATAATTTACTCATATGTGCACTTCTTACAGATGAATACTTAGGTACTTTCCAATAACCAATCTTCTGATGGATATTTGGGTATTTTTCATCTTTTGCCGTAACACTATTGCAACCGGCCTCTTCCTACACAATTGTGTATGGCCTTGAGTCATTCTATAAAGTAAATATCTTGAGAAACAATTGCAGATTTTTTTTTTTTTAATGATGAGCAGGAAAACAAATGGGTATCCCATAAAAGTGGCCCATAGATGCTGGCAGCAACTGTGCACACTCTGGGTTGGCCTAAGGACTGTCATTTACAGGTAGCAGGATGCTGGGCTGGGTCCAGAAGGTGCTGCCTCAGCCCCCCGGAACTCCTCAGAAGACTGAGATGGAGGAGGAGGAGGAGGAGGAAGAGGCAGAACTGGAGTCGGAGCTAGAGCTGGAACCGGAGGTAAAACCAGAGCCAGAGTCTCAAACAGCCGCTGAGGAGAGGGCCTCCCTGGGGAGAAGCAGAGGGTGGAGGAAGGCAGGCTCCCTTGTGCTCAGGGACTTCCTGGCATGGCCCACCTGCTCCCCAAGGACCTTCTACAACAGAAAAAGGTGAGATCAGAAGGAAACATGGCGGACACTCAGGCCCGAAGACTGTACAGTGCTTGCCTGAGGCTGTTTCTGTAGAAGGCCAGACAGTGACTAGTATAGGCTTTGTGGGTTATGCCATCTCTGTCACTCATCTCTGGTATTACAGTGTGAAAGCAGCTATGGAAAATGCTTCAACAAATGAGCATGGCTGTGTTCCAATAAAACTTTATTTAAAATCAAGCATTGGTTTGATATGACCCACGGACCATATTTTACCAACATCCTAGCGTCTAGAGCAGAGCCACTCCAAGTAGCCAGCCAATGAACTATTTGTTATTAGTCCAGGATGACATTAGGAACTTGATCCAGAATGTAGATCTACTGTGTAGCTAAGTACACTGCTGAGTTCAGTTGGTGTCTGTTTTGTAGTGAGGCCTTCTTGATTGAGAAGCAGGGAGTTAATACACATCCTGGTGCAACTGTTTAATCATCATGAACCAAGAACATTTTGCACACTGGCACTGGTTCATGTCCCACAGTTTGAGGGGAATTTCTCTAGAATTTTCCTTCAAGTGTATCTTGGAAGGAAAAGCTTGCCAGCTCTGCATCCCATCCATTCAGGAACCGGGTGACAAGTAATTTAGCAGCTCAATTAAATGGAATTGATTTAGCTTCTAATGGATGCTGGGCCTGTGCTCAGTGCTGAAGACATACAGATGGATAAGGCATTGCTTTGGGGGTCAGCAGACGAGTGCCTAGCCAGCTGATTCTGCCAGGAGATGGTTGGTGAGGCGATGTGGCCAGCCTCCGCATTGGCCTCAGCTCTGCCCCTCTGGCAGGGCCAAATAAATGTGTCAGACTGGGAATTACGGGAGTGCAGGAGAGAGTCACCTTTGGAGATTGGAAGCTGGTGGGGGATGGTTCCTAGACAGAGGCTGGGGCAGAATCTTAACTATTGGAGATGGAGAGATGGGTTGTTCCTGGTGGAGAAAGGCCCTTACTGCAGTAGTGAAGGGCATGTTTAGGAAACAGCTATAGGATTTGTATGTATGTATGTGTATACGTGTGTATGCATGTGTGTAGTGTGTCCTTGGTGTGATATCTGTGTGCACACATGTTTGCAACTTGGGCATGCATGCCATTGTCTGTGTGCATCTATATGTATGTGTACACACAGGTGCTCATGTATGTGCACATGTATTAGTGTATATATGGTTCCATGGGTGTGTGACATGCTACTGTGTATAAGCATGTTTCTGAGTATGGGAATGTATTCAAGTGTTTATTCACGTATGCACCTTTGGGTGTTTAAATACACATGCATTCACATATTTGCCTTTCTCTATGTATATACACATCCTCTGTGTGAACATGTATGTTCATGTATGTTACATGCTAAAATTGGTATATGTGCAAGTATACATGTATTTATGCATGTTTGTACTTCTATGCAAATATGAGCATATGCATATGCTTATTTATGCTACTGAGCATGTGTATACACATGCTCAAAGGACGTGCTCCTTTGTCTTTATATATGCAAATGTTATTTGTGTGCACACTCCCATGTCTGTATGTTTACACACTAGATTGATTGAGAAACAATCAATTTGTATCTGTGTGCCTGAGTGCATGTGTGTATATGCATGTGGTTGCATGTGCACGTGTGTGTATATTGGAGTATGCAGTGTACTTATGCACAAATGTATATGTGTATAGATTCTGTTCGTACATGTGTTCACGTGTGTATTCACTGACCTTGTACGTGTATGTTTATGTGTTACTAGATTATGAGTGGGTGCACACATTCATATCTGTGTATCTGTACATATACAAAATCCATGTAAGTGTGTGTGCACATTTGTGTGTGTATGTACATGTGTGCTTGTCTATGTGTATATACAGGTGATGCAGTAGCAGGAGGTGTGGCTGCAGAGGTAGGTGAGAGGCAGATGGCAGAGGCTGGACTCCACCCAGCTGCTAGAGAGGAATGGAAAATTGAGGTCAGAGGAGGGAGGGCCCTGGCTGGGATGAGGGGTCGTCTTCTGACTCTCCTTTCCCCTCAGCCTGTCCCCAGCCTTCATGACTTCACTGCATCTCCCTCTTTTCAGGCCACTGAAGTGGGGCAGCTTCTGGGGGGGATGATAGGACGAGGCTGGAAGGCCGGGAGGCCACCATCAAGGGGGTGTGAGGCCCTCGCCCTGGGGGAGCCCCCCGCCGAGGCCAGGAGGAAGGGAGCATCTGAGGTCACAAGAACTTATAGAGATGATCGTAGAATAGAGTTGTTCAGTCCTTTGGGGGTGGGGGGTCCCTTGTGGGTGATCCAGAGGAAGCTCCTGTTTGAACCAGGCAGGTCTCAGGGCTTACGTGGTCCTGTTTGAACCCTCCAGCCCCAGGAAGAAACAGCTGATGAGGAGGAAGTGACTGCGGCTGACTCAGGTCTTCAGGGTGAGTGCTGGAAGCTCGGTCAGCGGGCAGGGAAGCTGAGATCTCCCCTCAGAGCTGTGGTAGCCCATTTCACTGATGAAGAAACTGAGGCCTAGAGAGGCTCAGGGTGGGTTCCTGGAGAATTTTTAGGCCTTTTGATCCTTAGGATTTTCCCTTGTCCCCTGCCTTTGACTTGATCTTCCCAACAGAGTAGAAATGGCCCTCTCTGGGGGCCCAGATTTAAAGTCTGGGGACTCTTCCAGAGACCCAGAATGATGCCCCTCCTCTGCCCACAGCCCTCCAGGCCCAGGCTGCGGAGTTTCCTGACGTGAACAGGTACTGCACCCCCATCACCTCTCCCTGGGGCTGGGACCGCCACTCCCTCCAGGGAGCCACGGGGGGTGGGCAGGGGGGACAGGCATTTGGTCTGTAGTCATTCTGAGCCATTAGGTGGAGGGTCTCCTGGGCCAGATGGTCATTGTGACCAAGAGAGATGGAGGGGGAGAGCTGTAGTAATGGGTACCCTCTTTGAGGGGGCCAGATGTATCTCAGGGGTGGGGTAATTTTACCCTAGAGCCAAAGTCTTATTCTCCCAGTGAAGCCAGAAATCTAGACTTGTCCCTTGTGGGTGATCCAGAGGCAGCTCCTGTTTGAACCAGGCAGGTCTCAGGGCTTACGTGGTCCTGTTTGAACCCTCCAGCCCCTGGAAGAGCCAGCTGATGAGGAGGAAGTGACTGCGGCTGACTCGGGCCTTCAGGGATGTGGGGGGAAGAGGCTGGCCCTACCGTTCTGAGCAGCCTGAGAGTGGGCTCCAAAGGCACTGGGCATAGTGGGCCCATTTTCTTTTCCTTTTTTTTTTGGGGGGGGGGTTACCAGGGACTGAACTCAGGGGCATTTGGCCACTGTGCCACATCCCCAGCCCTATTTTGTATTTTATTTAGAGACAGGGTCTCACTGAGTGGCTTAGTGCCTCACTTTTGCTGAGCCTGGCTTTGAACTCACGATCCTCCTGCCTCAGCCTCCCGAGCTGCTGGGATTACAGGTGTGCGCCACCAGGCCCAGCATGGGCCCACTTTTTAGAGAGAAACAAGAGGCTCAGGAGGAAGGTGATATGCCTGAAGTCTCATGGTGCAGACTGGGTTTGATTCAAGCCAAGTCCCTTGGGATACTATGAACTGTCACTGGACCCTGGGGTGGGTGTTGAGGGTGGCTGGTGTCTCTGTCCCCCACAGTCCCAGCGGTTGGGTGCTGACTTGGCTCAGGAAAGGCATGGAGAAGGTGGTACCACAGCCCGTCTGCAACGGCAGGGCAGCCCACACGGCCACCGGCACGGAGGCCCCAGCTCAGGTAGTGCTGGGGCTGGCGGTGGAGGAGGGCCCGCTGGGGGCAGCCTGGCCTGGGTCCCCTGCCATGTTTCCCTGTCTGTCCCCGGCAGGCCGGAGCACAGATCCTTGGGCACCATGGCACAGGGAACACAGGTAAGATCAAGAGGCGGGACGGCTCTTCAGGGTTGAGAGGCTGTTGGGATGGCCTTGGCCTCTGGGGAGAGGCCACCTGGGCCAGGGCTTCTCATTGACTGGGCCTGGGCTCTGGCCTGAATGCGAGAGGTCCCTTGGTGCCTGCTTGAGGCTGACCCAGGGCTCTGGGCACGTCCCTCGCCATTGCCCATCTTTCTCTCTCCTTCCTTCTCTTTCTTTCTCCCTCTCTTCCCATTGATTTTATGATTTGTTTTGATTTTGGGTACCAGGGATTGAACCCAGGGGCACTCCACCACTGAGCCCCATCCCCAGCCCCTTTTTGCATTTTATTTAGAGACAGGGTCTCACTGAGTTGCTTAGCGCCTCGCTTCCCTAGTGGCTGGGGTTACAGATGTGCGCCACCACATCTGGCCTGATTTTATGTTTTATTTAAAATTTGTGGATGCATTTAAATCTTTAAAATTGGATTTATTTTTAAACTATACATACAAATTCAAGGTCTGTGCATACGAATGAGGTGTCCTGTGCTGTTCCAATGCATGTGCACGTCGTGTAATCGGGTGAAGCCTCTCTGTCCCCTCTGGCACTTGTCATTCCTTCCTCGTGGCAGTGAAAGGGTCCTGGACCCCTTTTCTAGCTTTTCGAGGTGGGCGGTCACTGTCTGCTCGCCCTGCTGCACCCCAGACCTGCGTCCTCCAGCCAGCTGCTGTGTGGCCCTCACAGAGCCGCCTCCCGGTGCCTCCCTCCCTGCCTGTCTCTGTTTTCTGACCCCGCAGGGTCTGCAGGTGGATCCAGTGAGTTCCCAGGGGCCCAGGATATCAGGTAAGTCCCTGTCGCGGTCACTGGAAGCAGGGCTTGAACAGCCCTGGGAGACACTGGGGTCCTCGGTTGTTCAGCCTCATGTTGGCAACAGCGTTGGACTTCTCAGAGCTGATGGGTGTGGGTGGGGCGGCTGCCTCATCCTGGATGGCTGCAGGACAGGTGAGCCCAAGGCGCCCAGGAGGGGTCCTGATCAGGTCCAACCCCTTCTAACTGCAGGCCCATTGTGGCAAAGGTCTCTGGCGTTTTACCAAAAAGCTAGAAATATAGATTTTTATGTACCATCTGTAATTGTTGGATATTGCCAACTAACTGAGATGCTTTCAGGACTCTGTGGGTTCCCCAATGTGAGCCTGAAACTTCCAGTTTTTGATTTTTCCTGTAATTTCAGAGTCATACACTCAACTCCAGTCACCCTTCACTCATTCCTTCCCTAGACTGCAGGCCCATGGAGGGCAGGGGCTTTTGTCCTGGTCACTGCAGAGCCCTGGTGCCCAGCATGGTACCTGGCATTGACTGCGGACTCGGCACCCAGGGGACACATAACCAGATGAATGAGTGGACGTAGAGGACGTACCAGGCTTTTCTTCATGTTGTTTCCCCTTTTCCTCTCCTCCCTCTTCTTCTCTGTCCTCCTCTTCCTCCTCCTCCTCCTTCTTCCTCTTCTTCTTTGTGGAAGAGTAGGACTTATTGAAGTGAGAAGAAACAAGACAGAGCTCTCACAGGGGACCTGATAGTAGGTTCCCAGTCAGGGAGCTAGTCTAGGGGTTCATGAGCTAGGTAGGGCCACTGGTCACTATCTATGCTGAACAGATATTGGAAAAGTGCCCAGATTGTGAGCTTTCTTTAGGGCCTGGAGCTTCCCTCAGGAGGTGGGGGCTTCTGGAGTCCAGATAGATTTGGACCCAATATTTGCCCCTGGATAATTGCTGTATAATTGACGTAAAATAAAAACGCAGGACCCCTTTAAAATGATGAATAATTTTCAGTTTATGGCAGTAGTGCATTAAACATAATAAAACTTCTAAGTATGGGGTCCCGTGTTTATACAGTCACACTCCCGTGAAGCCACTCCTGTCCATGCCAGCCACGGAGCCCCACCCCCAGGCTGCATCCAGGCATCTCCTACTCCTCCCCTGCTGCCCAAGAGCCCAAAGCTGGGTCGGGGCAGAGCCGGGTCCAGCCTTGGATCTAAAGTTGAGGTTGGCAGCTTCCCCACCACCATGGGGCCCTTTGAGAGCACCCAGTACAAGGTCCCACTGCCCAGGGCCAGGAAGAGCTGGTGGGCAGTCAGGAGAGTGTGCCTGGCTCCTTCCCTTAGGTCACCTGTGTGTCTGACCATTGGCCCTCCTTAGGCCCAGCCCATGGCTGCTCAGGTGGCTGGAGCAGAATCTGGAGAAAATGCTACCTCAACCCCCAACACCGGCTAAGGTGAGTGGACGGTAGGAGGGACCTCAGCTGGCCACCTGGGAGAATTTGGGAGCCCAAGGGGTGGGGACTGACTATTCCAGCAGTTTCTCCCCCAGGGGTCCAAGAGGGGTGAACCTCACCTGGGATCATCCTAAATGGGGAGGAGTCACTGCTCAGGGTGCCATGGGGGGACTTGGGGGCATGATAGAGCCCTCTGCCCTGGCCTCAGGTCAGGGACAGCTGGCTAGGATGGGGCATGTGCAGAGCTTTTACCAATGTCTTTGCTCCCCACCTGCCGTCCAGGGCTTGACTTCTGAGCCTGCAGATGCTGTCCTGGGCCCAGGTACAGAGAGGGGGCCTGGGAGGGGCTGCTTGGGTGGTTATGGGCTGGGCTGGGGGAACCCCGGGGAATCTCAGGGGAGACCCTTGGTCTTCATCTGGGTCAGTGAGCAATTCCGGCCTTTCTGGGAGTGGATTGTTGTGGGAGGGCACTGGAGCTAGTCCAAGCTGGGGAGCCTAAGGCTTGGGGCAGGTCTCATTCATTTTGTGAGACCTTGGAAAGTCCCTCCCTCTCCCTGCTCTTTTCGATGCTAGAGTTGTTTGGAGTGGTCCCAAGGGTCTCCCTGCCTGGTCACGTTAGTGCTTTGGATCTGACCCCCTGAGGCCTGGAGGGACCAGGTGGAGCCCTGCTGTGAGCTCTTCAGCCCCTGCTCTCCCTCTGCTCAGAGCCTCCAGAACCCCCGCTGGAGACGGAGCCCACGCCACAGGACCCCGAGAGCTCCTGTGTGACCAGTCTCGAGGAGGAGCCAGCTCCAGAGCCCCAGTCCAGCCTCCAGACCTCCTCCCTGCCACCACCTGCGGACTCTGCCGGGTGAGCCCTCCTAAATGTCTTCTCCCCACCTCGGGGAGCACGGTCAGTGCCTGGCCCCAGCCCAACACCCCACCTTCACAAAACTAGCACGTTGAATTATGGAATTAACACATGCACCAGGGAGAAAATTCAACGGACTCTCCAAGTCCCTCCCAGGGCAACCCCGGGTTCTTGCCTTCCCCAGGTACACCCTTCCCCAGGTGAGGACACTGTTCCTTAAACAACACACCTAGCAAGGGTGATCTATAGGCAGGAATCTGCATGTTGCTTTTTCACTTAAAAATGCATCTTGGAGGTGGGTTTGTGCACAGAGCTGCATTTCGTTCTTCCACTAGCCGTGTAGTGCTCCATCAGGTGGACGCGGCAGCTTTGATTTAACCACGCGGTGGACGTTGAGTTTGTTTCCACCCTTGTGCTGCAGTCAGAGCCTCTCCCGGCCTCCTGGGGCTCCTGCCCAAGTAAATCTGTAGAATAAATCGTGAAAATGGAACTGGGCTAAGGGTGACATACAGTCAAAACCGGGTTGGATGGTGGCCTGGGATGTACGGAGCTGGTGGTGGAGGGCTTTTCTAGCATGTGCATGGTCCTGGCTTCAGCCCCCAGGTACCAAAACAACAACAAATCCGGATTAGAGCTGCCAAATGCGAGCACCCTGGCAGAGTGAGAGGCCCGGGGGTGGGGTGGGGGTGGGGAGCCCGGGCTGCCTACTAGGACCCAAGCAGTAGGCAGAGCCCACCCAAGGGATGGGGAGGGGAGGAAGGAATTGTTCTTTAGAGCTGGAGACGTGCCTGGGCTCTGAGGCCTGCTGTTGACCTGTGGAGGGAGTTGGCCGTGGCCTAGTCTCCCGGGGATCGGGGTGGGGGGCTCTCCCGCTGGAACACAGCCCGCTCTGCCCGCAGGTTGCTAGCGTGGCTCCTACACAGGCTGGAGAAGGCCCTGCCGCAGCCGGTGCTCCCTGGGAACAGCCGGGAGCAGGTCAGTGCTGGGCCTGGGCAGTGGGTCCTGGCCAGTGGGGGGATGGGGATCTTGGGAGCTCAGGGAAGGATGGGGTGATTGGCCTGATCCCTGGAGGGTGGGGACACCTACCGTGAGAACCCAGGCCCTGCAGCCTGCCTGTCTGAAGCCCATGTTCACTTTACCCAGACCCTTTGCGGCTCTGTGGCCACCAGCTGAGACGTGCTGGCCCAGCCCACTGCCAGGGCCTCACAGTCCTTTGGGAACATGTGGGGAGTAGAGAGGGTATAGGACTCAGAGGTGGCGCCTCCTGGGAGCAGCAAGGAAAGCTTCCCAGTAGAGGTGACCTCCAGGTATGCTCCAAGGCCCAGTGACAAGAGGCCTGGAATGTCCTGAGAAGAAGTGGGGGTTCACAGGAAACCAGCAGGCCCCGTGTGCAAAACTGACAACCTAGGACACCAACGTGGGGGGTGGGGGGGGGCAAGGCCTCTGTCACTGTGTCTTTCCTTCCCCAAGATCCTGGGACCTGGTCTTTCTTTTTTGGGGGACAATTGGACATTTTCATAGAAGCTCTTGGAGCTGGGAGTGGAAGCCTAACCTCAGTCCTGGCTGTGTGAGTGCGGCCATGGCCCTCTCAGAGCCCCATTGTCCCACCAGAGCAAGGAGCGGACAGTGGCTCACTCCCCAGGGGTGTGAGAAGGCAGGAAAGAATTCTGTGAGCAAAGGCATGTAGGCCCAGGAGAGAGGAAGGCCTGGCCGGTTTCTGGGCCTCTGGGTCACTCAAGGACCCAGCCTGGCTCCTCCAAGCGGAGACCTTTGTTGTGGCTGTCTGGGGACACCCTCCCCACCTGCCTCACTGAGCCAAGACTGAACCTCAAACCCCTCTCCCAATTCCCTCATGGTCTGTGGGCACAGCAGGGTCCTCTATGGGCCACCTGAGGCCTACAGAGGCGAGCCAAGGTCACACGTGGCTGGAGTTCCAATTCCATATCCAGGCGCTTGTGGCTTCCAGGCACACATCCTGCCCTCTCCAAGGCTGCTTCCTGTGCGGAGGGAAGTGGGCAGGAAACAGGCTACCCACACCTCAGGTCTGCAGAGGAAGTGCGACAACCCTGTTTTCCAAGACACACGGGCTGGGTGGCAATTAGCCGATGAAGATGTCCTCACAGGGTCACAGGGCCCTGGGGAGGAGGCTGGGGAAGTGGGTTCCCCTGGTGAGAGGCCTTGGAGGAGCAGGGAGCTTGGAGGGGACCCTCCTGGGAGGGTGGGAGGAGGATCTGACACGGAGGCCAGCGGGTGGGGGGTTCCAGGTGAGCCCACCCTAGCAAAGGTGGTGAGGGGGGCCCAGGAAGTGGCCCTGGTGGGAGAGGGCTGGAGCAGGGTGGCTCTGAGGCAGGAGAGCCCAGGCAGGGAAGAGTGGAGCAAGTCCCAGGAAAAGCCCTGCCGGCTCCTGCAGGCACCACCCAACTCGGTTTTAACTGTATGTCACCCTTAGCCCTGACCCCCCTTTTCTCCCCACAGGAGCCTGGCTCCCCGCAGACGTGTGACGCGCAGACCAGTAAGTGCTGCATTTCTGGGTTCTCGTGCACCTCCCAGGAGGGTGGCTTGGTATCCTAGGGTCTGAGTGGGGGGTTTAATTGGGGCCTCCTGACCTGGAGCCCAGAGAGACCCCTGCTCTGCAGGCGCCATCTCCGTTCAGCGGGTCCAGGTAGCCGGAGCCTGGCAGTGGCTGGAGGCCCCCAGGGCCTGGCTCCTGGCTTCTGTCCAGAGAAAACAGTCCCAAAGTCAAACCAGATGGGCCCTCTTCCTGCTGGCACACGGCTCTCCTCAGGTGGGGAGAGGGAGAGCGGCGGGTGTCCCTGAGGGAACCAGATCCCATCGGCTGGACCACCCTTGGGCAGGAAGGCTGTCCCTCACCTGCAGCTGGGGTGAGAAGATGTGGGTGCCTTTTAATCCCAGCCCCAAGCCAGGACTGGGCAACAGAGATTGCGGTCCCTCTGGGTGTGCTGGGGCAGAATCTGCTCTTGTTTTGCTTCCTGGCCTCTGGCCACGCAGCCATTCACTCATTCACTAAGTAAGTGATGGTGGACAGCCCCTTTCTGTCCTGGACGTGGGCTCTCTGACCCTAGGTCAGGCTCTCCCAGGGACACTTCCGCTGTGCTGTAATGCTGTGTCCAACCCCAGGGTGAGCTCTCTGAAGCTGGGGGTGACCACTGTGGCTTGGGACACAGACAAATGGCTGACTGCAGGGCTTGGGTCTGGTGGACGAGCCAGGAGAGGCGTTAGGGTTCATGGTGGCCGTGACAGCAACCCAAGGAGCAGCAGAGCCCAGCAGCAGGACGGGCCCAGTCTCTCATGGAGCTCACGGTCTCCCTGAGCATGAAGTGAAGGGACCTCTGTGGCTGTCGGGGCAGGTGGGGGACAAGAGCTTGGAGAACTCAAGACAGCTGCCCAGGGTCACAGAGCAAATATGGTGGGAGTAGTAACCCGACTCTGGCTTGACAGCAGCTGCTCAGTCAGGCAAAGTTAAAGGGACCCACACTGTCGCCTGGGGCACTGGAGCCTGGTCCCCTCTTGTCTTCCTCTGGCTCCTCTGGAAGGATTCAGGATTCTCAGCCCACTGTAGGCAGGGCCTCCTGCAGTTCCCGGAATGGGCAGGAAGCACCAGGCCTAACAATGGGGACAGACACATGCAGGGGCCTGGAACCTGGGCAGGTCCTCCTCCTGGGGCCGCCATAACAAACAACAGGTAATTACAATCCAGGGGGCTTAAGGCAGCAGTTCAAAAGCCAGAAGTCCAGAATCAAGGCATTGCAGGGTGGGTTTCTTCTGAGGCTCTGAGAGAGACATTGTCCCCTCCTCTTCCTGGCCTCAGGGGCTGCAGGCCACACCTGGGCTCCTTGGCTTCCAGCTGACCCCCCGACCCTGCGTGAGTGTCCACGTGGACTCGCTCTGTGTCTCTGCGTGTCAGACGTCCTTCCGCTTTCCTTTGCAAGGGTGTCAGGTACTGGATTTAGGGGCCTCCCTAAATCCAGGATGATCGCCTCTTGAGATCCTTAATCAGGTCTGCGGAGACCCTGTTTCCCAATAAGGTCACATTCACAGGTAATAGGATTAGAACTTGAACTTATCATTTTGGGGGGACACTAGGAGCCCTCTACATGGGGAAGGAGCTTCCTCTCCTCCCTGCTCTGTCCCCAGCTTTCCCTTCCATCCGTCCGACCGTCCGTCCGTCCGTCTGTCTGTGCCCTCTGTCTGCCCCCAGCTGCCTGCCCTACTGACTCCTCCTTTGTTTCAGGGGTGGCGGCTGGAGGCCTCTGAGACAAGGGAGAAGGGGATCTGGGAGAGCACAGATGGACAGACGGATGGATGGATGGAAGGGAAGAAGGACACCCCGAAGAGAAGACGTTCAGGGGGTGGAGGGCGGGAGGTGGCCATCGACCCCTCCCCACCGGGTCAGTGAGCCGCTGGCCCTCCCCCACGCCCCCAGGCAGGGCAAGGAGAGCCAGAGGCGGCCCCACCAGCTCCCCAGCCGCCTCCTCTCAGGACACCTGGCAAGGGAGCGGGACCCAGGCCAACACAAGGGGAAGGTCGGCCAGGGGCAGCCTAAGAGATTCAGGCTAGACAGCAGGGGGACTTCCTCAGTGGGAGGCGATGGAAAGTACCTCTGAGAAGACCCTTGCACAGCCCCGTGTGACACTGGCTCTGTCTGAACCCCCTGGGACATACTTTTCTCAGAAGTGGTTTCCTAAGGCCTGGCCACTTTGTCTCTCTGGACCGGCCGGGGGACAGTGACATTGAAATCAACATTAAACATGCCTGACGAACACCTCAACCCTGTGGTGGCTGATGTTATTGCCTAGGGTCAGGCTGCAGCACAGTGGTTAGATTTTAAAAGTGGGTGGGCCGAGAGGGCTGTGGCCTGCGGGTCTTGGGGTGCAGGAGGAATTAGCTAGGGGTCCTGGGGTCCCAGGTGACCCATAGATGTCTTTGTTTGGGCCAACAGTGATTTGAAAAATTAGAATCAGTTGCCAGCGTTTACTATTCAGGTGACTTTATGTAGAATGTCTGGCTTCCCTGCCACCCTGGGAGACTCTGGGTAGGTGGCAGCTGTCCCTTCTTGTATCCTCCTTTTGAGACCCCCAATGGCTCACACTAACAGTGAGGAGAGGGCCACCCCAGGAGAGGGAATAAAGGGAGGAAAAGCTAGAGGTACGAGGGGGAGGCTGCGTGGGTCCCCCGGGGTGGGGGGTGACATCCCGCCGTCTGTAGCCCACAGTCCTTCATGGTTAAGCAGGATAGTTGAGCCTCACTTTAGGTGAGCTTGATTGTAGGCAGTGGGGAGCCATTGAGTGTGGTTGAGCAGAGGAGTGACTTCCCAGAGATTACTCTGGGGCTGAGCAAGCAACTAGTGGCTTCGGAGCAACTGGGGGCAACTCTGAAAAGTGTCCCACCCTCAGACCCCATGACTAGAATAGTGGCCTCAGAATCTGCCTTTTCAAGACGCACCCCCACCCATGATTCTGGTGATGAGGGACGGCTGCAAGCCTACTTTTAGGAATTTCCTGTGAGTGAAAGGTCAGTGCTTTGGGGCCAGAGTGGAGAGGTGGGCTGGACTAGGGAGAGGCCGAGGGAGCGGGGACCATGGCCCTGGCTCTGCCAGTGACCTGGGGTCCCGGTGGGGGCTTGCCCCGGATCCCATGCACCTGGCCTCCTGGACCCTGGACGCAGGAGTACTTTCTTGGGTGGGGCTGCTGGCCTTCCTGGCCTGGGCCAGAGCCCCATGTGCAGGTCCTGAGGGTGGAGAGGTCACCGGCAATGAGGTGGGGTGCCCAGAGGGAATCCAGGGGCAAAGCTTTACCGCAGACAGGGCAGCCCGGGCTCCTGGGTGGGGCCCTGGGAGGTGGGGAGAGCCTGCAGGGAGGGGCACACGCTCCTATCCCTTCCTTTCCTGGCCGGTGGCCGTGGGCATCACCTTCTTAGAGTTGTCACATCTTTGGCTGTAAACTAGGGACAGTCTGGGGCAGGCCTTAAAGGAAAGAGGGAACGCTCCCTCCTACAGGTGGAGGACGGGTGCTTCCAAGACAGGTGGCCAGGGCCCCGCTGAGGCTCTCCGGGTGCATATTTCCCACCTGGGATGGCGTGCTCGGGACGCAGGCATCAGGAGACCTGACTCTGCCTCTAACTTCCTGTGTGACCTTGGACAAGTAGGCCAGCCTCTCTGAGCTGGCTGTTTGGGCTATAAAATGGGGAGAGTTCTGTTCTCTTTGGGGCGCTGTGACAGCTAACAAGCTCTTAGGCAGGGGGTACAGTGCTCAGGCAGGAACCTGTCCCCCAGGGGACTCCTGGAGCACAAAGTCTAGGAGCTACTGCAGAAACGGGTCGTGCAGGGTGCGTGCAGGGTGCGTGCGGGGGCTTCCCTGGGGACACACAGGTGCTTTCTCTGTTTGATGGGGATAATATCTGTACCCGGAAGCTGGGAGTCCCAGCCCTGCAAAGCACCCCATAAAAGAAAGTGATAATTTTTGTTTCAGTTTGCTCATCTGTAAAATGGGGAATCAAATACAAAAGAGAGGAAATAAAATAGGAATCATTCTTCCACCTCAAGAGGTTGTGTGAGCACTAATGGAATGAACCCAGGTCCTCTTTGAACATAGGCCTGACCCCGGGGAGTACTCAGGAATGCCGCTGCTGTTACTATTACTGTTATTGTTGTTGTTTGCTGAACCATGAGCAATAACTTCCAAAATCACAGGATAAGACTTGGAGCCAGCTTTCATTTAAAGTCACCATTACTAATTCACGCTCTGCTTGAGGGCCACCAAGACCCCTGGAACTTTTTCAGAACACCTGATATCCAGGGAGTCTCCCCCCTTTCTCCTAGACACCTACCTGGGGTGGGGTTCCTGACGAGCCTCCCCGGTACCCACTTCTGCCAACCTCACCGCATTCGGGAATCTGAATGCATGAAGAAATGTTTAAAATGACAGATTCCTGCAATTCTCTGCCCCTCAGCAAAGTTGAATTCCCGTGGGGAGGGAGTTTCTAGACCCAGGAGGAAGAGGAGGGATCAAGTGCTGGACATCCAGAGGGCCAGTGGTGGGCAGGCTCACTCTGCATCCCTGGGGACCGTCTGGGCTGCCCTGCAGACGGACCCCACACCTATGTCTTTTGGGCATCACACACAACGCTCGGTTGGAAGTATTCTTTCTGCAAAGAAACCAAGCTGATCAGCCATTGTCAAAGCTCTGTCTCAAGAGAAAAAAGGGGGGGGGGGAGGATGAAGGGTGCCTGGCCAACGGTCAGGCTTCAACCTGTCGCTTGAGCACGGAAGTGGTGAAACCAGTCCCACCGGCCACAGCGCATTTCCCTGGACTCGTTCAGGAGCTGAGGTGCTACTGGAGATGGCCAGGCTCCTGCCTGGGCTCCCTGACACTCCCGGGTCCCCTGCAGGAGTCTCACAGGTGGCTTCTCCTGTGTCCCCTGCAGTTGGCATCCTCGCCACGCAGCGACAGGAGCCCGACCTCATCCTAGAAGACGTTGACTCTCACTGGGAGGATGCCCAGCAGGACTGCAGCTCCAGCCCCCAGGAGATGGAGGGGCTTCCAGCTCATGGGAAAGAGAACAAGGCCGTGGTGGAGATGCCCAGGTGGGAGCCCGAGAAGTCCCCGGAAAGAGCCAGTGTAGGCATGCGTGCGGAATCCCCAGGTCCAAGAGGGCACAGAGCCCAGCCCAGCCCGGCCCGCACCCCATAGGTCACACCCGGTTCTTTATTTTTGGGTACTGGAAGTTGAACCCAGGGGTGCTCTACCTCTGAGCCACAACCCCACACCTTTTCATTTTTTATTTGAGACAAGGTCTTGCTAAGTTGCTGAGGCTGACCTTGAAATTGCAATCCTCTTGCCTCAGTCCCCAAGTCACTGGGATTGCAGGCATAAACCATGTTCTGATGCCCATTCCAGACACAGTCTGGGCATATCCATGCTCTCTTCACCCCCTCTATTCTTTTTTGTGGGGGGTGGGGCTGAAAGGAAATCTAGCCCATGTAACCTGTCAGCACCTTGCTGCATTCATCCAGTAACATACCTTGAGGGCCTTCCTCAGTCAGTAGGTGGAAATCATCCTTATCGTTTTTACAGCTCTGTAGGGTTCCATCCTTGGGTATATATGATCCATTTAACCTGCCCACCACTGATGGACGTTTATGTTGTGTGTTGTCCGCTTTCTGTTGCTCTAACAACATGCCTGAGATAATCGACTTAGGTAGAGAGAGAAGGTTTATGTGGGGGCTCGAGATTTCGGAGGTTTCTGTCTACGGTTGGTTGGTCCCCTCATCGTGGCAGGAGTGTGTAGTGGACCAAAAGCCTTCGCTTCATGGCAGAGAAGAAAGAGGGAGAAAGAGGAAGGGGCTGGCGGTCCCACTGTCCCCTTCAAAGGCATGTCCCCAGAGATCTAAAGACTTCTCACTAGGTCCTATCTTTTAAAGGTTCCACCTTCCAATTGGGCCACTCTGGGGACCAAGCCTTTAGCATGGGCCTTTGAGGGATCCAAGTGCAGCCAACACCTTTGTAGGTGTGCGCCTCTTTGACCCTCATGGGCACCGCCACAGGAGGGTTTCCAGAGGGAGCTCCTGGGCCACCTAACAGTGCCTGGTACACAGCAGGCACTAAATAAATGGACCAATTGAAGGGATGAATGCATGCATGGACTGTCCCCCGCCCCCAACGGTCCCATGTTGTCTCGACACCTTCTAAGGCTGCCCAAGAGTCTCCTCTGTTGTCCACTCGAGGTCGAATCCTCATCTGCATCTACACAGGTTTCAACCAAAGGACTCAGTCCAAGTAAACGTTTACGGATGGAGCTGAGAAAGGAGCGCTGGGAGGGGCGGGGCTCGACAGCAGTGGGGACGGACAGAGGGGCGATGGCTGGGGGAGTGGACACTGGAGCAGGGGAGGAGCAGGAAGGTGAGCTAGAGGGGAAGTGGGTCATGGAGGAGATGCCCCGGGAGTGAGTGGGGAGACAGGAGGGGCCCCAGGACCAGATTAGAGGGCAGGGAGATGACCAAGAGCTGAGAAGCACCCACCCGTGAGGGGAGAGGGTGACGCCCTCCTCCCTGAGCTGTCCCTCTGACCTTGGCCGGGCTTTGCCATCAGAAGTGTCACTGTGCATCATTAGCAAAGTGACCTGGGGAAGTGGCCTCCCAGCTCCATGGCTGTGCGGTGGGGACTGCCAGCAGGTCCCTGCAGAGGGTGCACAGGGCCAGCTGCGAGATGGGCGTGATGGGGCCTCACTGGAAGAGTGCCCTGCTGGTGGTTACTGGGGCTCTTGTTGCCACAGAGGGTCACTTTTAGTCCCAGTCAGGAAACCATTAAACCAAGAGGCCAGCACAGGATTTCGGAGCTGGATGCTGGGGGGGTCCTCAGCTCCTGGTCCACCTTGGCTCAGTTCGCACACCATCCTTCCAACTTTGGCCAGAAGCCACCCAAACTCTACTTGCTTACCTCCAATGACAGGGGGCTCATTACCTCTTCAAGGCGGTCTACTCATCCGCAGGCGTCTCTGACTTGTGAACTTCACAAACACTGAGCCTGCTTCTCTAATTCTGTGTTCTGGGTCTCTGCCACCGTTACCCCACCCCCACAAGGTGAAGACCATGGTGCCATCGAACTTGGTGGCTACAGACTGCTGTGTTCCCTGCCTTCAACCTGCCTCTAGGAAGAGTGCATAGCTCCGGACGGCTCCCCAGCTATACCTGTGCGCCTAACAGACAGGTCCCAAAGTCCCTTTAAGGCCACTGCTCTTGAGCCAAAATGACCCTTAAAGGCCAGTGATAAACTGCTTTCCACGTGCCCATGCTCTAGCGGTACACATGTTCTCAGAACACGGTACACACAGACGCCCAGGCCGGGCAGTCCACGCACCTACATGTACAGGAATGCACGCGCAGCCCACTCGCATGCACATGTGCCCAAATGCCCACCCAGAGTTTTAAACTCAGGGAACTTTTGAGCCCCAGACCCAGGGAGGGACCAGATGTTGTAGTGACAGAGCAAGTGATCCCAGACCAGAGCCAGAGCCAGCAGAGCGGGGCTGTTGCTGTCCGGGGAAGGATGCTCTTGGCCACTCTGCAGAGGCACAGGTTACTGATGACGCCAGGGCCCTGGTAACGCAGATGGTTACCTAGCAACCCCATCTCTGCAGGCAACAGCTCAGCTTTTCCTAGCAACTGTGGCCTTTTGGTCCCCACATGGCTTCCCTGGGGACGTGTCTGTAGAGTTCCCTGCACATCCCCTCGGTCTGATCAGAGGCAGGAGGACTGGTGGCTCAGCTGCCATTCGAGCCACTCTGGCTTGGACGCTGGACTCCTGGCTGGGCCAGGGCTCTCCAGGCTCCACGCATGCTCCAACCCCGGGCTCGGGGTGAAGGGCACAGCCTCCAGTGGAACCGCGCCATGGGCACCCGTGCCGGCAAAGACCGAGAGACCCAAGTAGGTGGCTGCTTGTGCCCGAGGGCCCCCCTCCCTCCTTCCTTGGTGGCTGGGATTTCAGGGGAAGAGCATGCTGCAGGTGACATGAGGACCCTGTGTTGGGGACACAGCCTGCTGGGGTGGTTGAGGGAGGAGCAGAGTGGCAAGCCCTTGTGAGCTGGCTGCCGCTAGCTGGGACCTGAGAGGCCTTCTGAGAAGCCCACCTTGGCCAATCTTGGTTCCTTTGCTCGGAGGTCCCCGAGGCCTGAGAACTCTCTGGAAGTTATTAGGATGTTGCTTCTGGGCTGGGAAAGTGGGAACCTTGGCAGGTACCGGGCACACTATTGAATAGGGACGGTGTGACTTGGGTACATGGATAACCCCCAACAGCCCTTGGTGATATGGGCACAGACACCATTGGGCACATTGGTTCGTGGTCACGGAGGCTGTCTGTTCAAAACATTTCCCAGTCCATGTGGGTGACGTCATGGCCCTGCCGACCACCACCTCCTTGGGATGAATGATAGCAATGACAAGAATAGTAATAGAAATAGCTGTCATTCGACTGGTAATATTTTTCCACGCTAGACCGAGCTGAGACAGTCAGAATGGCAGATTCTATCACTAATCCCAATTCACAGATGGGGGAATGAGGCTCAGAGATGGTGCCCTGGATGCCCAGGGCTGGCCCACCAGGAAGCCCAGAGCTGGTGTTCTGTCCCCAGTTGGCTCCAGAGTGAACACAGAGCCTTGTACTTTGGGCCAAGGAAAACCGCTTTCTGTGTTTAGAGGTGAAAGATCCAGAAAAATCCCAAGAACCCCTCTGACAGTCTCTTTTCCACGAGGTCCTCACGGGCCCTTCTGACCTCTTTCAAGTAAGTCAGGCTGCACAGGCCAGGCAAGTCCTGCCCATTGGACAGATGAGCAGACGGAGGCAGCCCCAGGGCTTCCAGGTGACTCACCCAAGGCCAGACAGAGATTTTCTGGCCTGATAGTGGAAAGAACAGGACCTCAGGATGCCTCTGGCTGGGACAGGGGTGGCCCATATCCAGGGCCTTTCAGAGAAGGGTCCTGTATCTGTTTGGGTCGGTAGCTCACCAGCCGTGCAAGGCCATGGTTTGTGTAGTAGACGTGGTGCCCACAGTACTCTCAGGGATCCGTGAGAACGTTTCTTGTTTTTCCTGTTTTCTGCAGGGCTGAGGCTCCAACCCAGTGCTTCCTGGGTGTCCGTTCTCCCTCTGAGCAATACAGCAGCCCTGAGAACGTTTTAATTTCTTTTAAAATCAGATTCCACCCCCACACAAGGGCCTTGAGATAGCAGAAAGATGGTGCAAGATAAAATATTAACATACTAATCTCATACGATCACAGTCATAAAACCACAGTTTTTAATAGAGTTTTTGGGGATAAGGGGCTGAAAGCTGATGTGCTCAGGACCTGTCGAAGCCATGACATGGCCTGCTCTTATGACTTGAATCTCTAGCAAAAAATCAGTTTATGCCGGGCAAGGTGGGGAGCCTTACCCTGATAGTTGAGATCCTTGCAATGGAAATGTCTACACAGAGAAGGAAAATAAAGTGAGTTGGGTGTTTGTGCCATTCAAATCCTGGGTCTACTCCTCCATATCACATGGGGCCATATTGCTGCTCAGAGGTGGGCAGCAGGACTGAGTGGCAAGCACCTGGCTTTGGGGGCAGAGACACCTGTGTCTTTTCCAGGCTCCCCCCCACCTTACAGGCTGTGTGACCCTGGACCAGCCATCGAAGCTCTCTGAGCCTCAATGCTCTGAACTGGAATAGTCTTAGCCACAGCCCTGGTCTCCCGGGATTGTTTGCATGAAGAGTTGGGAGACACTGTGTTCGGAGCACCTGGCACAGGGCCTAGCCTGTGGCCCACAGGGGCTGTTGTGGCACTGTGACCTTGGGCTGATTCCTGCTCCCAGGTGGCTGGATTCAAACCCACTCAGCCACACTCCTTTCCCCACCTCCTCAGCCCCCTTGAGAGGGCTGAGATGAGGCCCCCTGGGTAGAGGAAGGTGAACCCAGGTTTTCTGGGTGGCGGACACCCCAGAGCAACTTAAATAAGCCTCTTGGTGACAGGGACCAAGGGCTGGGACAGGGCTATTCAGAAGCGCAACTATTTCTAACTACAAAAATCACATTAGCCCCTGGTTCTAAGTCAGCTTGTAACCCAGAGGTCATACTTAGACTTCTAAGGGCCTGGTTTTGCCTGGAGAAAGGCTCTTTTTAAAATATCTACATATCAATATTCAAATTAATCTGAATTAATTATTGGCATTTATATATCAGGAAACTCCACCTTCAAAATATATAGCTCAGGCTTCTCTTGAAAATGGCAAGATCCATTCCCAATAGCGTGGGGTCGCCGTCTGCAGATAGATATGGGTCTCCCACTTGCCACAGTTCTCCCTGCCCCACGCTGCCCTCTGACCCCGTCACTCATATGTGCCTCCTACCTGGGTCAGTGACCACTGAGAGCTTTGACAGTGACAGTGTGGGACATCTCCTCTCTCCATCCTCTGTGCTTCTCTTGCCACATGCCGTCCTGGCTTCCTGTTCCTGGTTTTTAAGTCCTCATTCTTGAGCCCAGCTTGCAGGCCACCTGCTCCGGGAAGCCCTCCCACAGCAGAGGTGTGGCTTGTCCTGTGTCTCAGAGTGATGGTCAGCAGGACACTGCCCTGGGAACCTGATGAGGACAGGCCTGGTCTTGACCATTCTGTCCCAAACCCCTGGCCCAGAGCTTCGGCCCCAGCAGGGCTTGGGAACTGGTGAGCGCTCCTAACCCCATCCTCCCCGCCCCCAGCCCCAGTGTCCGGCTGGATAGCTCTTGGCTGGTGCAGTCCATTGTGGATCCGAGCAGAGGAAGCGGGAAGCAGCCCCCAAAGGCCTCATTCCAGGTACGGAGAACCCTGAGGCCTGGGCAGGGTGCAGGGGAGAGAGTGGAGGGCCCCACTCAGGTGTCAGGAAGGACCTTGGCCATGGGTGGGGTCGGATGGAGCTGGGCTCAAATTCCCACCTGGTTCACCTTGCTATGCGGCCTCTGTGGCCACCTGCGTAAAACGTCTCCTGGGATTGTAGGAGGATCCGAAAGTGCTCGTACCCTCTGCAAGGTGCTGTCTGGGGTGGGGCTTCTGGTGGGGTCTGCTTTGGTTGATTTGTGCCCAGACGAACAGGATGCGTGGGGTGGGGGGGCTCCTCTCGGCACACGTGGCAAGTCCCCGAGTCAGGGCCTGGGGCTTCCTGTGTACTGTGGACTCCTCAGGTTCTAGCCACCTGTCTGGATGCCCCAGGAGACGGGCCAGCAGGGCCTGCCTGCCTGGGCAGGGCAAGAGTAGAATGGGGGGCCGTGAGGACCCCTGAAGATGTCCTGAGCGGGCTGTTCAGACAGAGGCCGGGAGCGGGGTGGTCCCAGCACTGCCCTCACTGTATCTTTGCAGGGGCTGCAGGAGGAGGCGGTGGCCGCCAGCTCAGCAGGTAGGTGGTGGTGGAGGTGACTGTGTGGAATGTCGGGGTCCTTTCAGGCTGGGGGGGTCTCTCCTCCTGTCCCTCCACCTCCTTCCAAGTTGTTGCCCCACGGTCCCCCTTCAGCAAAGCCCATCCCGCGAGTCTTGGGCCACATTGTCATGGCCAGATGACGTCTTTCAAAGGTCCTAGGGGAGTGGCAGGGAGGATCAGGGCTCCAGGCCTGGCTACCGAAGCCCTAGCCTCCACCCTCCGCCCCTGCCACTGCCTCTCAGGGGAGTGTAGCTGTGGGTCCCACCCAGCCAGGGTTCAGCTCAGACACCGCATAATGTAAGTGAGGGACAGTGGGGCCGGACGGAGCCTGCAAATGATGATCCCAGACCTGGGTCTCAGGGCTTGTCCCGACTGCTGAGTTCGTAGGGTGGGGCCGGCACCTGTGCTTTGCTTGTATTTTACACCCACCCCCACTCCTGAGAGCTTCAAGAATGGTGGGTTGAGAGTCCAGGGGGCGGAGCAGCAGCCAGGCCATCTCACCCAGACAGACAGACAGACAGACAGACGTGGAGCCCCGGCCCACGCGCCTCCCGTTCCTCCAGCTACCTGCACTGCAGGCGCCCAGCGATGCAGACAGACCCCTGGACAGATGATACCATGAGGCTGCCCCAAGGTCAAGGCCCAAACCTGCCCCTCACGCCTCTCCCCCTTCCTGGCTGCGTGATCCAAAGCCAGTTCTGCGACCTCTCACAGTCCTGGTTCCTAAATCCAGAAAAATGGAGCAATCATAGTTCCCACCTCCAAGGCTGTTGGGCAGAACAGCGGACGCGATGGATCGAAGGTGCCCAGCATCACGGCTGGTGCCATGGGAAGAGTCGGAAGTGGAGAGGACAATTGATGCTTGTGTCCCAGCCACCAGCCATGGAGATGATTCTGGGCCGGGGTCCTGACCCTGGGCGTCCCAGCTTGCCCCTCAGCTGGCCTTTACAAAGTGTTCTCTGTGAACTTTCATGTTCATCTGTGGGAGACCCACCAAGTCCAGGCCTTATGCTGGGCCTCCAATGAGTCAGGACCAACCGGCACAGCGGGGCGGGTTCTGCCCCTGCTCCGCGTGCTGGAGCCACACTCGGGAAGCGCTGAGGCACGGCCATTTGTCCGTTTATACTCAAAAGTTTGCATGCAGGTCCAGCGGCTGTGTGTCACCTGGGAGCTGCTGAGGCATGCAGAGCCCCAGGAACCGCCCAGACCAGCCAAGTCAGAAATTGACCATGTAACAAGGTCCTCTGGCGATGGCTCTGCGTGTTAGCATTTGAAAGGGGAATGGCCTTGAGCCCTGGTTCTCAGACTTGACTGCACATTTGAATCCTGGGGAGATTTTAAAACTCCCAGTGCCAGGCCTCATCTTGACCATCAAGTCAGGTCCTGGGGATGACAGGCCCCGGCTGATCCCACTATGCAGCTCGGTTTGGGCCCCAGGAAAGGGGACTGCCCCTGGTTGGAAGTGACACTGCTCTGCCTCCAGGGTTTCTTTGGCCTGGGCGATTCTGGGCTGAGGATATTTTCCATCCAGGACTCGGTGGTTCTAAGCGCCCGAGCCTGTGAGTCCTGCGTCGCGGGATTCTGACTTTCCTTGGGTCTGAGATGGGTCATGCTGCTGCAGGTGGTCAGTGGAGAGCATGAAAAGTCAGGAGGCGCTGGGGCTGCTGGGTGGACCGGCCACATGCCTGGATGACCCTTTCGATGTTGAACTTTAGGGATAAGAGTGAGTGGTGCTTCAGACCGGGGACAGAACTGCTGCAAATGCAGATGGGCACCATGTTGCTCCATGTCGGTGCTGAGAGAGGAGCCCCACTTACTGCCTCCCTGTTCTGCTCCCCATTGCAGTTCCCAGGGTCACACCTCTGCCCGTGACCTTCGGACTCCAGCACCATGGCCAAGCCAGGCCAGGACACGGAGCTGAATCGCCTGGTCCAGGAGCAGCCACCTGACCAGGGGGCCCCCAGGCTTGCACCCCCAAACCTGGCAGAGCACCTTCCCAATGTGCCCAGCTACCGCCCGCCCATCACCCGCATCCCTGTCCTCGTCACCCGGAGAACGGCCCTGTCCAATTCCAGCTTCGCCAAGGAGACCAGGAGCTCCATTCGTCGCCTAGGTAGCGCGAGCTCGCCACCCAGCGCGCTTCAGCCTGCGGCGGGTGCAGCGGGTGCGGTGGGTGCATGGCTTGGGCTCTCTTCCTGCAGGGCGCTGTGGCCAGGGTGTGGGACCACGCATTGTGCTCAGGGAAAGCCACTTTCTCTTCCTCTGCTAAGCCAGGCCTTCCTCCTGCTTTGTGGTGGCAACATGAAAGGGTTTCTTTCCTCTCCTTCTCCCCAGGCCTAAATTCTGCATTTAGCAATTATTTCTTTGGGTTACACGTTGCTTTCTGCAGACAATTGGGTTTTTAAAAAATATAGAGAGAGGTAGTCATTTGCACTCTAGTCTAAACAATGCCCTTTCTCGGATCTCTGGGCCATGAAGCTTGGCCAAGGAGCCAGTCCTTTTGGGGGTGACGGCATTAAAAGAAGAAAACTAATAGAAGAGTAAATTCAGACCCACTGCAGATAGAATCTACTGATGGTGAAGTTTGCTGGCTGGGCTTTCTGAGGACTATTAATATCTGCTCAGCAAATTCCACTTCAGGAAAGAAGGAGCTGCCAGGTGCAGGCCGGCCGGCCAGGAGGAGGCCATCCTGAGGGGCCAGCGCAGAGGGAGGGCCTGTCTGGATCCCTTTAATTGTCACAAGGTCCTCATAGTGGCTTCCAGGCTACGGCTGCTCACTGGCTGATGAAAGTACTCAGGGACATACTGGCACCTCTGGACTGATCCCTGTCACTTTCTGCCTTAGCTGAAGCCAGACCTGCCAACTCTCCTTTCGACGTTTGCTATTTTGGGTTGACACCGTGCAAAGCTGCCTCTGAGATCAGGCCAGGTGGTGGGTCTCACTGAGCCCTTCACGAGGACACTGACTCCTCTCTCCCCTTCCTGGCTCTCGATGGGCTCAGAGTTGGGGTGAGGTGGCACGCTGATCATCCCCACCGTGGGTCCGTGCCCTGGTGGGCAGACCCTAACTCTCCCACTCCAGGGGTCCCCCAACTCCCTCTCCCCTGGATCGCCCCGTACCTGTTGTCCTATTCTGGGCCAGCTCTCCTTTTATATGCGTCTTATTTTCTTTAATTGGATTCTCTTCTCAATTTAATTCATTTTACTGAAACTTTGTGTTACTTTTCAAATGGAAAACCAGCACTGCTTGCCATTAAGAGAAATAACCCCAAACACCCGGAAAACAAATCAGTGCTGAGAGCTATGGATGGGGTGGCGGCAGGCTGGGGGCCGTGCTGTGCCCTTAGCTGAAAGGGGCCTCGGCTGTGTCATAGGGGCGTTAGTGAAGGCCACCGAAGCACTAACCTGACTTCCCCTCTGTGGATTCAGGATCTAGAGGGAGTGGATCGGGAGTCATGTTCCCATTCTGTGTTCTCCTTTGCCTGATCTGTACATTGGAAATCATCCTCTGTCCTCCTGGGTCCCTGGGAATCCCCATGGAAATGTCCCCAGTGACAGCGGGTGGATCTGACAAAGGTACAAGACGTGTTGACTTTAGATGCGACAGATAAGGAAATGAGAAGATAGAGCAAGACGCACGGTTTCAGTGAGGCCACTGGTGCCTTCCGAGCTGGGTTCGAATCCTGCTCTTTGTGCCTTGGTCTCTTATGCACAAAGTGGGGACCAGGATAACAACTACCTTACAGCACAGATGGAAGGGCTGGGAGCGTCCACAGAGCTGGGTGTAGTAGCCCGTGTGCCTGGAGTCCCAGCTGCTCAGGAGGCTGAGGCAGGAGGATCGATTGAGCCCAGGAGTTCAAGGTCAGCCTGGCCAACATAGTGAGACCCCATGTCAAAACAACAATGAAAAAAAGTTGATATATATAAAATACTTAGAATTTGGCAAAAGAAATATTGGCCGGCATATAGGAAGTACTTAACAGTAAATATTATTCTCTAACCAATTTAGTAATGTAATATTTTTTCTTTATATTTCTTTAAAAAACTTTTTTTAGTTGTAGATGGGCACAATACCTTTATTTGATTTATTTTATTTTTTTTTGTGTGGTGCTGAGGATCGAATAACCCAGGGCCTCACACGTGCTAGGCAAGTGCTCTACCACAGCCCCAGCCCCAGCCCTATATTTCTAATAATTCTTAGTCTATAAATGGACATGATATAAACCGATGCATTGCTATTTTGAGCTTCTGCTCTACTGAGCTGGTAGGAAATGAAACCTCAGTTGTAGGAGTTTTCTCCCCACCACCCCAGGGGCATCAAGGATGCAGGGTCCCACCCAGGACAAGGCAGGGTGGGCATCAGCCCCTCCAGCTCTGTGGAGCCCCCTTGCTATGGACGCTGAACTTGTGGGCTGCCTGCTGCCCTCCCAGGTCCCTAAGCATGTTCCAGAGGTTTCATGATTGGCGGTCCCCTGTCCCCTCTCCTCCTCCCCCAGCTCACCCTTCCAGGCCACCGAGCAATTGGGCGAGGGCCTCCCACTCCTGATCTCCTCCTCCCGCCCAGAGGCTGGGGAATCTCCTGTTGGTTGGTAAAGTGTCTCCTTTACATTTAAGCAACGTCTCCATTCACGTTCATCCTCTTCCTCTGAGAGATTAGGACTCGTTCTTTAAAAAATGCCAAGAGATCTTGATGCCTCCTTAGATTCCTCCATGAGACTAAGTATAAGCAACTCCACAAAGTGCCAGCCTTCCCCACGATGGCCATTATCACACCCAGGGTCGGGGTGATGCTCGGTGGTGATGCCATGGCTCCCAAACCCACCTCCCCAAATCTTAGATCCAATTATTTCAATAGCTCCCCTCCCCTACCTTGCTGGGGCCCAGGCCTGGGCCTAGCTGCTGCTGCGGGTCCCCCCAGGTGTTGGCGGAGGGGGCGAGGGGAGCAGGGACACTGCTCAGACCCTGGCATCCTCTGAGCTTGGGCTTGGGCAGAGCTGTCCCCACAGTCCCTGAGGTGGGTGATGGAGCCAGAGGCAGGAGCACACCTGGTGTCCCCAGGGAGGACCTGGTGACACACTTCTCAGTGGTCTGGAGATCGGGTTCTGGTGGCTCCTGGCTTGTATGAAAATAGGAAATGCCAGAGCAGGTGCCCAGATGGGGGATGGCACCCACTAGAGAGACAGTCTGTGGACGGACACCTCTGAAGGTCTGTGTCCCCTGGCTTTCCCCATAGGCCTGAATGGCATTGTCACCCTACCTTGAGAGAGAAACTGAGGCTCAGAGAAGGGAAGCGGCGGACCAGCAGTGCTAGGACAGGCCTGGGACTTCCCCTGAGGGCCCTCTCTGAACCCTGTCACACCCCCCCCCACCGTGAATGCTCCCTCTGGGCTCAGGGGAGCAGTCAGGTCTTGGAGGGGTCTCTATGGCATGTGGCTTCTTTCGTGGCTCCTGGTTGGTGGCTGGCCTGGCTGTGGTGCATCTCAGGCATGGCGTCCCGCACCCCTGCATGGGGCAGGTGAGGCTGCCAGGCTCCCTCCAGACATGGCTCCGCGGCTTCCTTCAGGCACGTGGCCAGGCCCCCCGCCACCCCGGCTTCTCTCCCTGACTCCCTTCCTTTCTCCCTTTCCCCAAGTGCCTGCCACGAAGGAGCACCCGGAGGTGCAGGTGGAAGACACCGAGGCGGACGGCCGCCCCCTCATCGTGGAGGAGACGCCACCCGAGCAGCTGCCACCTTCGCCTGCCAAATCCGACACCCTCACGGTCCCCGGCTCGGCCCCAGGGGCCCACAGGTTACCTTTTATGCTTCTCTTGGGCTTCTCTGAGCACGGCCCCCTGTCCATGTGGCAGATGAGGAGACTGAGGCCAGACAGGGGACACGTCACACTGAGTTGGCCTCAGCGCTGGGACCATGACACCCTCTCCTGGTTCTCCTAATTCCTGGCTCAGGGCTTTTTATAGGGGCTCTCACGGGAGGCCCTGCCCCAAATGCCCTCAGCCAGGAGAGGAGGGCAGTAGTATAATAAATAATCACAACATACGATGAATGTGACAAGCTCATTTACACTTCCTTTTTATTTTATTTTTTGAAAGGATGTGGTTCAGTTGGACTTACATATGATTATAAACTACCAGTCCTTTTCTCCCCCTCTTCAACAAAAGTTTAAATGTGGAATACCGTTTATTGTACGCACATCACGATACAGCGGCTCTGTAGAATTTTCCATCTCACACAACCGAACCCTATACATTGATTGACACTTGCTCGTTCCTCCCCCACCCCAGCTGGGAAGGGTCAGCCTCCTGTCTGTGAGCTCGAGGACTTCAGTAGGCACCTGGGGTCAGTGGAGTTGGTAGTATTTGTTCTTCTGCGACTGTTCCGTGCACTGGGCCTGGAGCCGTGTCTTGTGGTGACTGTATTGTAGCACGAGAGGGCTGGGGCGGTGGCTCAGCCGGAGAGTGCTTGCCTGATCCTCAGCACCACATAAAAATAAATAAATAAAGATATCGGGTATCGTAGCACACGATAGTCTCCCTCTCAAGACTGAATGCTGACCTGCCGTGTGTGTGTGTGTGTGTGTGTGTGTGTGTGTGTGTGTGTGTACTACGCTCTGTTCACCCACGGTGGACATTTAGTTTATTTCCACCTCTTGGCTATTGTGAAAGCAGGAGTGCTGGCCCAGGAGGCTGGCAAGACACCATTTGAGTGCCACATGATGTCGCATCTGTAGGTGAGGGCCTTGGCCCCGCCCCTAGTGTCCTGCCCAGCCTGTGACTGGCCCTTGGTGGGAACCTTGGCTGACCAAAGACAAAGCCAGAAGGAGGCTCCCCCAGTTCGACAGCTGGAGAGAGGGTGGTGGGGACCAGACCAGAGATTCCAGTTTCCCTCAGGGTGGCAGGGTACTAGCTGCGGGTCCTCATCTGGTGAGTTCCCCTGGTGGATTCCATTTTTGATTGAGCCCCACAGAACTGAGCACCCTGCTAGAGGGTCATCAAGGGCGTTCCTCGGAAGTCCAGGTCCAAGGGCTTCTTTTCTAGAACTTGGTCACACCATTTTGCTTCTACGGTGTCACAGCTAAGGGCCGTAGTCTGTGTTTGGTAAGTTGCTGCTACAACTGAGCTCAGCAAGCTGCTCACACCTTCACGGTGGGGTGGGCCCAGCTGCATGTGTGGACACGCTGTACCCATTTTTGGCCCAGCACACTCGGGTTCAAGTGCTGAGTGCTCAGATTTGTGTCACCCGTTGTTCTGACACTCGTCTTGATGGGATACCACAGGCTTGCTGTGCTGATGCTCATATCCATGTCCCTAGACGCTTGGTTTCACACACTGACACCGTCTCCATGTGCTGACACTGTATTCTGTGTTTCATAGGATAATACAAGTCCTTAAGAAACGACCCTTCTTCTCCACCAGCACTTAAGTCATTAACCCATAAAACGTCGTTCCTAGTGGTGGACACTGGCCTGGGCAGGTCCTCCAGAATTATCTTATGCTTCGACATCAACTCATTCTACTTTATGCAGAGGAGGACTTTTTCTCTAATTCTGGGGATGGCTTCCTTGCCGATGTTAAGAAATTTCTCTGCATCGCTTTTCTTCTCTTCCCAGGTTTTGGGGTAACCCAGCCAACCAAATCATTCTCACTGTTGAGACAAAGAGTGGGAAAATCCAGGGAATTCACCCCTAAAATGCCAACATCAAATAGTATCAAAGGCACCTCTCCTACCACGTCAGATCACCCAGGCTCCAACCTGGGGACCCCAGGCCAGGGGCAGGCTGGGCAGGAATCTTCTCGTCCCTGAGATCCAGGTGGTTTTCAGGCTTAGACGCCATCAACCAAGATGCAAAAAGCCCCCAAATGCAGCATTCTATGGCAGAGTTTAATTTTCTGAATGACAGGGGACCCCTGGATAATTTAGTCTTCATTTATTCAGCTAGGGAACCTATAATCCAGGAGCGGATGGGATTTGCCCAAGGTCACACCGTGAAAGGGTTGGCACAGAGGAGGGGAGACTTCGAACTGGAGTCAGGAGGGGAAGGATGTCCCAGTTGAGACCTGGCTGAGTGTCAAGTACCCCATGTAGTCGGGGAGATTTAGCCCTATTTTACAGAAAGGGGAAATGGAAAAGGCTCAAAGAGTTTAAGTCATTAGCCAAGGTCACGCCCTGGCCTGAGGCAGGGCTGGGTGCAAATTCAAGTTTGCCTGATACCAAGTCAGTGAGCAGGTGGGAAGACGGAAGTCCGAGGCGGGCAGTGTCCCTCTCTTTTCTTTTGTGTCTCCCTCCAGCGAAATGAGGACCCTTTGGCAGAACCACCCTTCCCCCATCCTCTACCCAGGTGGTCCTCAGGGTCAAAGTCATTTCTCTGCCCTCCCGAAAGGCGCCTTGTGTGTCTGTATCCTTTCAGGAAGAAACTGCCCTCTCACGATGATGATGAGGCCGAAGAACTCAAGGCGCTGTCACCAGCCGAGTCCCCAGTAGTGGCCTGGTCAGACCCCACCACCCCACAGGAAGCCGAGTGAGTGGGGCCATCCTCGGGTCTCATGGTGCTGGGGGGCTGGGTGGGGTGGGCCGATGAGGAGGTGGAGGGGTGTGCGTGTTTTTAGAGGACGGCTGCTCCGGGGGACTGTATTTCTTCCAGGGGCTTCCGAGCAGTCCATCGGCTGGTCTCCTGCGCTGGCTGCTCCTGGCTGGCCCAGGAGTTCTGCCAACTCCGCAGGATAGACTGCAACTCTGGGTCCAGCTCTGGGAACAGCCAGCAGTGCTCAGAGACAGGGGGTGGTGACTGACCCCAAAAGGGTCAGCAGGAACAGTGGGGACACGGGATCTCCACTGGGTCCCATCTTGGGAAGCTTGTCAAAAACTACAGACCCCCGGGCCCATCCAGTTCTACTGGATCAAAGCCTCAGACCACAGCCCTGGGGAGGTTGCACCCGCTCCCTGGCGATTCTGCTGCCCCTTGTATGCAAAACAGGGTTAGAAACGGATGGCTGGGCCTGGGATCTCTGGCATCTCATTATCCCAAGGCTGGGTCAATGGGGGGGGGTGTTTCTGAAGGATCTGAGGGACCTGGTGCATGTTGGGTACCCCAGCCATGGGCATTTGGCCCCAGTCCCTGTCATGCTCTCCAGCCATGAGCCTCTTGAGACAGGAGATGCCAGGCTTGCCTTCCTCCTTCTGGTCTTTTTTGTTTTTATATTCATAATTTTATGCAATTTGTGCTTAACAGAGTTACAGGAAATTCATAAAAAATGAAGAAGCAGGAAAAACCCTAAACCTCACCCCTAGGCCAGTTGCCAATTTTAGCACACATTTAATACATTAGGGTAGGTTAGGATGAGGACCGAGCCTCAGATAATATGGCATAAGTCAGGTATGATAATAAAAATTACCCTTAGCTGGGCACAGTGGCTACTTGGGAGGCTGGGGCAGGAGACTGCAAGTTTGAGACCAGCCTCAGAGACTTAGCAAGACCCTGTCTCTCAAAATAAAAATAGGGACTGGGGATGTAGCTTAGTGGTAGAGCATTTGCCTAGCATGCAAAAAGGCCTAGGTTCAATCCCCAGCACTGCACATACATTCAAAAATTATCTTTGAAATCTTATGAGGAGGTCAACATAGACACCCATGTATTAGTTAGGCTTAGTCGCTGTAACAAATATCCCTAAAAGTTCAATGACTGAAGGGACAAGAAGATATCTCATATGTCATAGTTATGGCACAAGTTGCATGTTTCTGGTCAGTGGAAGGCTCTGCTCCACAGGATCATTTAGGTACCCAGGTTATAGTGGCTCTGCCACTTTTTCCATGTGGCTTCCAAGATCCCACTGGTCAAAACTGTAGGCCTTTCTTCAGCAAAGAGCTCTGGAGTCTCATGTCACATATCTACTCATGTTCCAATGGTGACAGCTTCCCACACATACCTGGAAGTGAAGTCCCAGGATGGGTGGCTCTATTCCAGCCACTACTCACCACAGGGGAGAGCAGATGCCAGGAAGCAGCTCCCGTGTCTGCCGTACCTGCATGCCACCTCTCATCAGGCCCATTCCTTGGTTCAGCCCAAGAGAAGTAGTTGACTTGAGTTTCTGTACCTTGACACATATATACATATCACATCTGCAAATCCTACTGGTACAGTCCGCTCAGCAAGCTGATCACAGTGTGGACACTCAGAGGGGAGCCCGCTCATGTGACCTGTGCCAGCTCACGCAGGGCAGATGCCCCATGCTGTTGGAAAGTGGGCAGCCTTCATCCTCTCTCTCTACCGCTCTCTTTCACTGTCAGTGCATGAACTCTAAGTCCTGTAAGTTAAAGAGGGCTAACACATGTCTCCAGTGCCTTTTCCACTTATGTCCTATGTCCCCAAACATAGCCCCTGCTCCCCTCTCTGTTCTACCGCAGGCACAAATCTCATGGGAACCTTGAGCTGGGTCTAAATCCCTGATTCTGCTGAACTCTGGGCTGACTTCCAAGAGTTTCTCCCCAAACTACAAATGGAATGAAAGTTTATTTTAGGAACTGTGCCTGCATCAGAGGCACCAGGGTACATTCTCTGACCCTGGGGCCAGCGCACCTGCACATGATCCCTGCTGCATTTCCTCCTGGGAGAAAGTGGACAGGGTCGAATTTCTAGTGTTGGGGAAAGGGGGCAGGATGTGCCTCCTCCTGGCTCTGACGGAAGGTGAGTCCCAGACGCTGTCCAGCTCTGGCTGGACACTGGGGTCCTTTCCTGCTCAGCCTGTGTACTGTTCCCACAGTGGCCAGGACCGTGCGGCCTCCACTGCCAGCCAGAACAGCGCCATCATCAACGACCGGCTGCAGGAGCTGGTGAAGCTCTTCAAGGAGCGGACGGAGAAGGTGAAGGAGAAGCTCATCGACCCCGATGTCACCTCCGACGAGGAGAGCCCCAAGCCCTGTGAGTGGGGGCTGCAGGTGGTCCACCTGGCCAGAGAAGGATGGGGTCCCCAAAGTCCCTGCCAACTAAGGTGAGGGTGGCCCAGGGCAAGTCTGGAGTGCACAGGAGAAGCCCAGATCCCTGTGCTGTGGACTTGGGGCCCTGTGAATACGGGTTCTCTATCTGGGAGGGGACAAAGAGCAAGGTTATGAGCAACAACCTTGCTCACGAGTGTAACTGCGGACCCTCTGCCCCCTTCCCGTTGGCAGGTGGGGTCCTGCGTGGGGCTGTCTCGTGCCACACTCAGAGAGTGTCCCAGATGGTCTTATTGTTCAGATTCATCAGAGCCTCGAAGGGGCCACCTGAACATTTTCCTTTCTTTCAAGGATTTAGGGGGAAATAAGAACCATGCTTTCTTGTCAGGAAGGTTTTCTAGATCTTTCCAGAGAAGGGCTTTGGAACTCAAGGTGCCCACCATGGATTCACCAGACCCTGACTTCATAGTCCTAAAGCTAGAAACATGGCCACATTGAGCCTGTAAGCAACAAGCCCTCGTCACCCAGAGCAGCAGGTAGCTGCCAGGCAGGAGGCCAGGTCCCAGTCAGTGTCCCTGGCAGGGACAGAGGGGCCAGGATTCCCGCTCTGAGAAGCCTGAGCAACATCTCCTGATTTATCTGGGCCCTTTCGCACTCCGACCCGACAGTGAGGGCCTTGGGTACAAACCCCTGCCCATCAGAGGGCAGCCAGGGGTCCAAACACAGGCGCGCAAGGCTGAGCTGAAATGGTCAACGTGCCCAGGAGGACCTCACAGGGGACAGCTCCTTTGAAGCAGTTCCATGCTGTAGTGGATAAGAGTCTCGGGGGGCAGCCTGGCTGCTGCTGCAGAGGGAGCCCAGGGGGGCGCTTCTGGGGAGCCCCCTGGATTCCACACACAGAGCTTGCAGCAGGCAGTGGGGTGGACCCTCAGTTCTGGTTCCAGGGTCTGCGGTTGGGACCCTTCTCAGGGCTGGACAGGTGGTCACCCATGTCATCCCTCAGCCCCAGCCAAGAAAGCCCCAGAGCCAGCCCCAGCCTCGAAGCCCCCAGAAGTGGAGCAGGTGGAGGAGGAGCACTATTGTGACATGCTCTGCTGCAAGTTCAGACGGCGCCCCTGGAAGAAGTACAAGTTCCCCCAGAGCATCGATCCGCTGACCAGTGAGTTGCCACCATCCAGTGGGAGAGGGTGGGAGAGGGAGCGGCCGGAGAGAGTCAGGTGAGGTGAGAGGCAGGTGGGAGGCCACGTCGTCCCAGGTTTGTGACCCATTTTCCAAATGATTCCACACTTCCTCACCTGGTTCTTAAACAACAACAAAAGTCGCTGGAATAGGAACGCAAGGTCACACCCATTTTAGAGATGGAGAAACTAAGGCACAGAGAAACCATCCAGCCTAAATACACAGTGAGTTAGTACAGGCCCAGGACTCCTGGCTCTTGGCCAAGTCTTTCTGCTGTGGCTGCACCGAGACGGGGAAGGGTTCTTCCACATTGAAGGTGACTCCTCTCTCATCCCTTTAAGCGCATTCCATAGTCCTCGGGAGCGATGCCACTGCCTATGTGCACAGCACTTTACAGTTTACAAAGGCCCTCCCTCCCCCTCTTATCTGACATTCTCCTGTGACTTTGAGATGAGCAGGGCAAGTGCCAGAGAGTGACTTTCTCAAGGTCACAAAGGAAATTTTTTAGGGGGCAAGACTCGAATCCTGGTGTCCCCTGGGCTTCTAAGATGACTAGGAGACCTACACTGTCCATCCATCCATCCACCCCCCTGTCTGTCCCTCCATCCGTCCAACCTCCGTGCATGACTTATTAAGGCAGGAATTACCAGTTAGAAAATTTTTCAAAAAGAATGAAAGCCAAATGCTTTTCTAGTTAGGTGTCTACTATCTAATAATGTCCCTGTAACCCCTCCTCAGTGTCCCTTCATTAGGGCCTGGGGGTGATCTGTCCTTAAAGCACAGGAAGTTTTACCCATGCACAGTGACAGGAGCACCAGGTGCAGGCCCCTGGGAAGCTGGAAGCCCACCTGGCCCCACGGAGGAGGGTCCTGGGTTCCAGCTGGGTCTAGCTGCCCGCCCTCCCTCCCTGCAGACCTGATGTACATCCTGTGGCTCTTCTTCGTGGTGCTGGCCTGGAACTGGAACTGCTGGCTGATCCCCGTGCGCTGGGCCTTCCCCTACCAGACGCCGGGCAACGTCCACCTCTGGCTGCTGATGGACTACCTGTGCGACCTCATCTACCTCCTGGACATCGTCGTGTTCCAGATCCGCCTGCAGTTCGTCCGAGGGGGTGACATCATCGTGAGTCACAGGCCGTGGGAGAGGGGGATGGGGGCTGAGTCCCCCAGTCAGAGCCTTCAGGGGACTGACCCCTGATGCTGCGGTAGATGATAAAATAAGGGAATAAGATAAGCTCAGGTGCAGCTGCCTGTGTGTGTTCAACAACACAGTCGCTGACTTTGCACACTTGGGTAGGTTCAGAGGACGCACATCCGATATTGTTCATGGGCAAAGTAGATCCTGGACCACCCACTGGAATTAAGGATGGAGCAGTAGCCCAGGGAATGGCCTTTAGGTCAGGCACACTGTTCAAATCCTAGCTGAATGGCCTGAGCCTCAGTTTCCTTATCTGTTAAATGGGGTTGGTAATGGTTCCCACCTGGTGGCATTACCTGTGCAGATTGATTGAGAGGACGCAGGGTGCTCAGCTTGATAACTGCTGGAAACCAGCATTGGGGCGGTGGCTCCTGGGACTCCTGCAGAGAGCATTCTGGTGCTCTGCCACTTGGACCAGTTTGAGACCCTGTTCTGAGCCACCTCCTGCTTGGAGGAAACCAAGTCCCTGATTGTGAGTTACCAAAACCAAGTGTCAGCTGGCATGGTGGTGCACTCCTGTAAGCCCAGCAACACAGGAGGCTGAGGCAGGAGGATTGCAAGTTCAGAGACAGCCTCGGCAACTTAGCAAGACCCTGTCTCAACATAAAAAAATTTAAAAAAGAGCTGGATCCGGTGGTGCACATCTGTAATCCCAGAAACTCAGAGGACTGAGGCAGGAGGGTCCTAAGTTTGAGGCCCCTCAGCAATTTAGCTGAGCATCTGGGCAGATACTTGTCAAAAGAATAAATACACATGTCCAACAAGTGTATGAGCAAAATGTTCAACCTCATTAGCAGTTAGGAAAATTCAAACCAAAACTATATTGGGATTTCATCTCACACCGGTCAGAATGGCAGCCGTCAAGAATGCAATAGTAATAAGGACTGGCAAAGGTGTGGAGAAAAAGGAATGCTATTAGACTGTTGGTGGGACTGCAAATCAGTACAGCTATGGACATCAGTGTGGAGGTTCCCCAAAAGACTAGGAATGGAACCACCATACGACCCGGCTATACCACTTTTTGGTTTTTGTCCCAAAGAATTAGAATCATCTTACTAGAGTGACACATGCCTGCCCACGGTTCACCACAGCTGAACAATGGAACCAGCCTAGGTGCCCATCAACCGAAGAGTGGATAAAGAAAATGTGGTGTATACACACAAGGGAGTTTTATTCAGCTATAAAGAAAATTGAAATTATGGTAGTTGCAGGAAAATGAATGGAACTAGAGCCCATGATGTGGAGCGAAATCAGCCAAACTCAGAAGGTCAAGGGTCGCATGTCTTCTCTCAAACGTGGAAGCTAGAGAGGGAAAAGGAGGGTATCTCATGAGCAGGAGCTCAGTAGAATATAGAAAAGGAAGGGGGGGTGCCGAGAGGGAGGGGGACGGGCTGGGGACTGGTATTGGCCAAATGAGATTGTTACGTTGTGAGCATGTAAGACTATGTGACAGCAAACCTCACCACTATGCATAACTATCATGCACCAATAAAGAACGTGCAAAAAAATAGTAAAGGGCCCGGGAAGCAGCTCAGTGGTAGAACATCCCTGGGTTCAATCCCCAGCACCAAAAGAAAAAAACAAAAAAAGTAAAGAGGACTGGGGATTAGCTCAGGGGCAGAGCAACCCTGGTGCAACCGCACTACCCACCCCCAAAGCAGGTGACATAGTCCCCTATCTCCTCATGCAAGTCACTTCCTAAGATTCCCCACGGGGGGGGGGGGGGGGGGAGGGATGGGGTGCGGTGGAGTGGGAGCACCTTCCCGGCAGGCCGCGGGCCCTGGGTTCCACCCAGAACAGCAGAGAGACAACTCCCACCGGCAGCCCCTGCTCCCCTGCGTGTGAACAAGTTGAAGTTTTGCCTTTAAAGCAAATTAAGGGGAAGAGAATTCCCAGGCCAGCCTCCCGGCAGGTCTGATCGGCCCCTGCCACTCAGTAAAAGCCGCAGGTCGTGGGGGAAGAGCAGGCTGCGGAGGGAAAGCTCCATGACTGCCTATTTCAGGCGGCTGCTCTGGGAGGAGGGGACTCTGGAGGAACCCCCTTTGCCTGCGCAGGTCAGGGCCCGAGCTCTCACCCACTTCACCGTCACTGTCCCATTTTCCTTCAGGTGGACAAAAAGGAGATGCGAAACAACTACCTGAAGTCCCGCCGATTTAAGGTGCGTGCAGCTGGCCAGCTGTGGTGCTCGCGGGGCCTCGCAGGCCTGGTGCTCTGGGGATGTGGCTGCCACTATCTCCCATGGAGTGTCCTCCAGGCCACTCAGGCTGGGTGGTGCTCAGAGGCCACCTTGCAACGGGTCAGCCCCTACCACTGGTTCCCAGTAGCCCTCGGGGCCATGGTCATGGTAAGAGACCTGCCTGGTGCTTCCACTGAGGCCGAAGCCCAGGGACGGTTGGTGGGATATCTCCTACCCTCCGTCTGACGCCCTCCTGGGGTTCTGACCTCATCTTTCCACAGTAGAGGCCCCGCCCTTTCCCTTCACTCCCCTGCCCCCCCTTCACCGTGCACCCTGGGGGCCATTGGGATTGCAGATGGACCTGCTGTGCCTCCTGCCCTTGGATTTCCTCTACTTGAAGTTGGGCATGAACCCCCTCCTCCGCTTGCCCCGCTGCTTAAAGGTAAGACCCGCAGCCGCCCTTCCCCTGTGCCTAATTAGCACCTCTGTGCTCTGCACTGAGACACTGCCACCTTAATGTCCCCCTAAGTTTCCCCCAAGAGCCTGGGAAGGGGGAGGTGTCCTCGCAGGTGGCCCAGGGGACAGGCATCTACTCCTCCCATGTCTTAATGGAAAGTGACCCCAGCTGCTCTAGGTTCTGTGGCACTGCTGCTAGGTGTTGATCCAGGGGCTTACCAGGCCCTGGTTCCTCAACCCTGGATGTGGGTGCTGTGCTGACAGCCTCAGAGAGCCTAAGGAACCTGCCCAAGGGCACACAGGATGGAGCAGAGCCAGGGCTGGAGTAGGCAGTCTGTCCCCTCTGACCGTTAAAGAGATGGTCCAAAGTGGGGTTCTGCTTTATGATGGGCTCTACCTAAAAGGCAGGGAGACTGGCACTTGGAGCTGCTGGGTGATGTGCCCAAGGTCACAGGAGAAGAAGTGCCAGGATGGATGTGAAGGCCCCGCCCACCACCTGTTTGTCATTGGTTGGTGCTCAACGTCAGTCCAGTTGTTCATCCTGCCACTCACTGGGTAGAGGCAGGGTCCCTGATACTGGAGACCTGGCAACTGTCCTTTAATGTGGCTAGGGTAGACAGACACTCAGGGCTCCTAGGATTCCCCCAAATAAATTTTTCCAGCCAACCACTTAAATTCCTCTCTCTCCCTACATGATGCCTGGTGCCTTTTTAGGGGGGATTTACACAAAAGTGAAATGCGATAACATCAATAACCCAGAGAAAAAGGGCAGAGAACACTATGAAACCGAGCCCAGGAGCTGCCTCTGAGCTTCCTGGCTGCCAAGGGGAAGAGGGAAACTGTACTTGGCACCATTCTTATCTGACTCGTACCAGCCTCCCGGGGGCTGCAGAGGTTGCTTTAGAGCTCGTCGTTGGCGTGAGGAAGGTTGGGTCCACAGGCCAAGACTACCCCAGATGTGGAAGTGAGGTCCCTGCCTTTGTTCATGAGGTAGCCCCCGTGAGCATGCGTAACTCCCAGGCCTAACATTTAGCATGACTCGGAGGGGGCATCCGTTTGAACCTGGGGGGAGGGCTCCAAGCCCATGGCTCTTCTCTATCCAATTCAAACTCTGGATGGAAATGGGAATGGGCCCCTGCATGCTGGCTGGCTGCCCTTTAGGAATTCTTCATAGATACGATTTTCAAATATCCAAAAACTGCAGGTGTTCAAAGATCCAGACGGATGTAGCCCAACAGAAGGAGCCGGCAGCTTGGAGTCTGATCTGAGTTCAAACGTTGGCTCGGGGCTGGGGCTGGGGCTGGGGCCGGGGCCGGGGGCGGGGGCTGGGGCTGGGGCGCAGTGGTAGGGCACTTGCCCAGCTTGTGTGAGGCCCTGGGTGGATCCTCAGCACCACATGAAAAGATAAATAAGTAAAATAAAGGTATTGTGTCCATCTACAACTTAAAAAAAAACAAAAAACAAAAAATTTTGACTCTCACTTCCCAGCATGGGCTTTGGACACATTATTGGACTTCACTGAGTGACAACTTTCTGTCAAAGGAGAATTATAAGGCTGGGGGTGTGGCTTAGAGCTAGAGTGCTTTCTTAGCATGTGTCAGGCGCTGGTCTCCGTCCCTCTCATCAAGGAAGGAAGGAAGGAAGGAGGAAGGAAGGGAGGGAGGGAGGTAGTTATATAAGGTACTGATCATATAACAGGAGTTCCATAAAGGAGTCGTGGAGCACATCTGTAATCCCAATGACATGGGAGGCTGAGACAGGAGGATTAGAATGTGAGGCCAGCCTGGCACCTCTGTGAGACCCTGTCTCAAAAAATAAAAAGGGCTCGGGATGTAGCTCAGTGGTGGAGTGTCCCCGGGCTCAGTCCACAGAAACCCCCTGCAAAAAAAGTGGTTATTGTTATACTTTTATTACTATAAATAAGTCTTTGAAGGAACTAAGGAAGAAGTGTTAGGGATGATTTTTTAAAAAATAAGATTGTTTCCTTTAAAAGTCAACATTTAAAAGCGTCCCTAACCTGGAGTGCATGGACCCTTGAAAGTCTCACGGTGGGGTTCAGAAGGTCTGGGAGTCCCCGTTAATTAACTATATGCCACTGTGAAACCAGGACCATGCGTGATTCCCAAGGGAAGGGGCCAGGGCTGCCATTGATTCCTAGTGGGGTTTCTGGCCCCACCAGGCCCAGGACGAGGGCCCTCTGGTTTGGGACATTCACTGTCCAGCCCCTTCCCCAGGAGGAAGGGCTCAGTCCTGGGGCCGCGGGCAGCGGAGAGCTGAGGGCAGTGTGGCCCCTGCAGAGTGGCTGCCCCTGACACCTGCTCCTTGCTTCCAGTACATGGCCTTCTTTGAGTTCAACAACCGCCTGGAAGCCATCCTCAGCAAGGCCTACGTGTACAGGTGGGGCCGCGCGCGCACACGCACACGCACATGCACACGTGTGGACACACAACAAAGACGCATGCCACACACACCACACACCCCCACACCATACACACACACCACACATGCATGCACGCACACACATGTGTGCACACACCACACACGCACGCGCACACACACGTGTGCACATACCACAAACACACACCTACACACATGTGCGCACACACACATACCACACATGCACACACACCACACACACACCACCCACTCCCCCCCCCACACGCACACACACACCACACACTGCACACACGCACACTCCACACACACACTCCTCACACACACACACACACACACACACCCCGAGACAGAGCACTCTCACCACGACCGTCACCTCCCCTGTCCCACCCTGACCTCCCGGCCTCAGCACACAGGAAGCGGGGCCTCTTCCTGGCCTCTTCCTGGCCCAGCCTCCTCCTCTCTGAAGGGATGTTTATGTTTAGAGTCAGGAATGTCCTATTTCCTCCCATTGTGACTTGGGACGAGGGTCCACACAGGTGGGGGGGGGGGGCACAAGGTCACCAGCCACGCTGGGAAACAAGGCTCCTTGCACCTCTTCAGACCTCTCAGCCTCATGGTCACCTCTCTGCAGTCACCTGTCCCCTCCAGGCCCTCCCCACAGCCACGTGTCTCCTCTGTCCCCTCTGCTCCCCCAGAACTCATCAGCAGGTAGCTCTTCCCGCTTGGACCAATCCCAGCCTCAAGTCTTGACAAGGTTCCCATCAAGGGCCACCATTCCTAACTGCCACTGCCTCGAAAGAGTACCCCACGGGGCCCGTGTGGCCACCAGCTGTTCCCACTGGCAGGGCGTCCACCCACGGCTGGGCCACACGTTCCAGTGGGGGAAGTTGTAAAGTGGGCTTCCCAGGAGGAGAGGTGTGCCCCCTCGCTGCCCCTGGGGTGACAAGAGGCCACCAGCACGCTGTCACCTGGGGTCACGCTCTCTCTCACCCTGGGTGGTGTCCCGCCCTGGCAGGGTCATCAGGACCACAGCCTACCTGCTCTACAGCCTGCACCTGAACTCCTGCCTCTACTACTGGGCGTCGGCCTATCAGGGAATCGGCTCCACCCACTGGGTGTACGATGGCGTGGGAAACAGGTGAGCCGGCCTCCTCCGGGTGACATTCTCCTTCTTTGTCATTCAGAGCATACAGGCTCCTAGAAAGGAGTCTCCCTGCCACTGTTTTGCTAAGGAATGGCTCTCCTAAGACGGGGTTCAGGGGCCATGTCCCCTGTCTTCCTGAGCCAGTTTCCCGAGCACCTGCTGTAGGCTGGCACAGGTACAGATGGGAACGAGACCTGCAGGAAGGGTCCTTTCAGCTTCCCAAAGCCCAGGAGGGCAGGCGAGCACACCGTCCATCTACCCCTCACCCCCCTTGGCCCACTGGGAACGAGGCCACAAAACACTTCCCAACACAGCTTCCCGGGGGTCACCAGCCACCGAGGAGCTTGTGGACAGGGGCAACTGGCTTGCCATTCCCAAATTATACCATGGGAGGGTGGCGACGGTGTTTATGTGCCATGTGACACTGCAGGGAACCTTTGTCCTCTGGCCTGATGGTTTCCTCATCTCAAATTCTTGCAAGGGGAATAGCCAAGGGTGCAAAAATGTTAATTATTTGAATTAATAAAAACTAATAAACTTCTTTAGCGTGGTCTCAGGGTTATAGAAAGGTCCCTGGGGAAGTCCAGAGTTCCCATACATGGACTGCCTCATTTTCTTCCTTCTTTTCTCCCCCACGATGCAGGAGATGAAGCCAGGGGCTGGTGCATGCCAGGCAAGCGCTCCCCTGGGCCTCTCATGATGCGAAAAGCTCACAGTCCAGCCCTCCACACTGGGTCCCCCTCCGGGCACCTGCTTCCAACTCTAGAGTTCACCCCTTCTGAGACTCACAGTTTTTTTTTTTTTAATTAGAGCGTTGTAGTTATAAGTAGAGGTTGGGTTCCTTTTGACAAACTCATATGTGCGTGGAATTTGATTGACCGTGTTTCAGTCTCTGCTCCCCTATCCCTCCTCTCCTCCTTCCCCCTCCTCCTTGCTCAACTGGCCCCATTTTATTTATTTATTTTCAATTGGTGCTTTCTACATATACAGAAAGGTGAAGCTCCCTGTGGTACATTTATGTATGCATTTAACGTGATTCTGTTAGATTCACCATATTTCTTCCCATTTCCCATCCCTCTTTCCTCCCTCAGTCTCCTGCTCCACCCACCTTCCCTCTGTCTTCACGCTGTCCTGTCCTCCCACCCACCCCTACCTTCTTTCCCTAATTTTGCTCAAGCTTCCACATATAGGAGAAAAAAACATTTGACCCTTCATTGTCTGAGTCCAGCTTATTTCACTTGGCACGATGTTCTCCCTTTTCATTCATTTACCAGCAAATGCCATGATTTTATTCTTCTTTATGGCTGAGTAAAACTCCGTTGTGAGTATTTACCACATTCTCTTAATCGGTTCATCTGTTGGTGGGTATCTGGATTGATTTCATGCTTAGGCTATTGTAAAGTGTGCAGCTACAAACATTGGAGTGGCTGTATTGCTATCATATACTGATTTTAGATCTTTTGGATAAATACTGGGGATCGGGATAGCTGGGCTGTATGGTGGTTCCGTTCCTAGTTATTTGAGGAATCTCCATACTGCTTTCCTGAGTGATGGTACTAGTTTGAGATCCCACCAACACTGTATGAGTGTACCCTTTCCCCCACATTCTTGCCAGCATGCATTATTATTCGTATTCTTGATAATTGCCATTTTGACTGGAGTGAGATGAAATCTTAGTGGAGTTTTGATTTGCATTTCCCTGATTGCTAGAGATGTTGAACTTTTTTTTTTTCATGTATTTGTTGACCATTTGTGTTTTCTCTTCTGGGAAATGTCTCTTTAGTTCTCTTCCCCATTGATTGATTGGGTGATTTGCATGTTTGTGTATTTCTGGGTTATATTTTTTTGAGTTCTTTACATGTTCTGGATATTAACTCCCTGTTGGAGGAGCAGCTGGCAAAGATCTTCTCCCCTCCTGCAGCTCTCTCTCCACACTCTTGTTTCCTTTGCTGTATGGAAGCTTTTTAATTTGACGGCATCCTCCTTATTGATTCTTGGTTTTATTTCTTTGAGCTTCAGGGGTCTTGCTGAGTGCCTGTCCCAGTGCATTGGACTATTGAGCCGATGCTTTCTTTTAGCACTTGCAAAGTTTGGGTCTAATTCCAAAGTCTGTAGCCCGTTGGGTTAGGGATTTAATTTCATTCTACATACGGGATATTCAGTTTTCCCAGCACCATTTGTTAAAAAGGCTGTCTTTTCTCCAACATATATTTTGACACCTTTGTCAAATATCGTGGCTGTGAGCATATGGGTTGGTCTTTGTGTCTCTCTTTCTATTCCATTGGTCTTCATTCTGTTTTGATGCCAGTACCATGCTGTTTTTGTTACCACAGCTCTGTAGTGTGATTTTAGATCAGGTATTGTGAGGCCTCTAGGATCAATCCCTCTTCTTGCTCAGGATTGCCTTGGCTGCCAGGCGTGATGGTGCCCGCCTGTAATCCCAGCAGCTGGGGAGGCTTAGGCAGGAGGATTGCAAGTTCAAAACCAGCCTCAGCAACTCAGTGAGACCCTGTCTCTAAATAAAATACAAAATAGGGCTGGGGATGTGGCTCAGAGGTCAAGTGCCCCTGAGTTCAATCCCAGGTACCCCCACCCCCCGCCCAAAAAAAAAAATAGAATTGCCTTAGCTATTCTGGGCCTCCTGTTCTTACAAATAAATTTTATTTGTTCTGTGAAAAATGTCATTGGTATTTTAATGGGGGTTGCATGGAATCTGAATATTACTTTTGGTAGCATGGCTGTTTTGATAATATTACGAACATGGGAGGTCTTTCCATCTTCTAAGGTCTTCTTCAATTTTTTTCTTCAGTGTTCTATAATTTTCATTGTAGAGATCTTGCACCTCCTTGATTAGATTAATGGCCAACCCTTTTTTTTTTTTTTTTTTTTTTTTTGTTATTGTGAATATGATGGCTTTCCTGATTTCTTTCTCAGCAGAATCACTGTTGGAGTATAGGAAAGCTATTGATTTATGAATGTTGATCTTGTATCCTGCTATTTTGCTAAATTCATCTATCAGTTCCAGAAGTCTTTTGGTAAGGTTTTGGGGTCTTCTAGGCATAGAATCATGTCATCAGCAGATAGAGATAATTTGACTTCTTCTTTTCCTGTTTTTATCCCTTTAATTTCCTCCTCTTGCCTGGTTGCTCCGGCTAAAGTTCCGAGAACCATATTGAATAGAAGTGGAGAGAGTGGACATCTTTCTCTCATTTCTGATCATAGAGGAAATGCTTCCAGGTTTTCTCCCTTCAGTGTGACGTTGGTTTGGGGTTTATAATGTACAGGTAAGTTCCTTCCAGCCCTAGTTTCTCCTGTGTTTTTAACATGAACAGGTGCTGGATTTTATCAAAAGTCTTTTCTGAATCTATTGAGATGCTCATAAGATCCTTGGTCATTATTCCATTTCTGAAGAATTATATTCATTGATTCGTTTATGTTGAACCAACCTTGCATCCCTGGGATGAAACTCACCTGATCATTATGCATTACCTTTTTGAAGTATTTTTGAATGTAGTTTGCTAACATTTCATTAAGGATTTTTGCATTTATGTTTGTCAGGGATATCAATCTGTAGTTTTCTTTCCCGGATGTGTCTTTGTCTGGTTTTGGTATCAGGATTATACTGGCTTCAAAGAATATATTTGGAATGTTTCCTCCCTTTCAATTTCATGGAATAATTTGAGAAAGACTGGTGTTAGTTCTTCTTTAAAGGTCTGGTAGAAATCAGCTGAGAATCCATCTGGTCTTGGGCTTTTCTTTGTTGGAAGACTTTTAAGTGCTGTTTCAATTTCATTTGACTTGACATTGGTCTGTCTAGGTTTTCTACATCTTCCTGGTTTGATTTGGGCAGGTCATATGTGTGTAGAAATTTGTCAACGTGAGACTCAGTTTTCTTATCTACAAAATGACCGTAGTATCACCTTCAGGATTCTGGAGAGGAATAATAAGCCAGTGCAGGTAAGATATACAGCCTGGGCCTGGACACTGGTCAGTGTCCCCTTCCTAGCTATAGCTATTTTTCTGGGGAAGCCAACATGCCAGTAAAGGGGTCCATAACCTTGGGTCAGTGTTTCTACCCTCCTGGAAATGGAAGCTAAATCTTGAGAATACGTTAATTTCACTCCAGGGGAGTTTCCTTCAATCCCAGAGGGCTCACGTCCCACTGAGCTAAGAACCCACCTCTCTGGCGCTGGCAGCCTTGGGAAGGGATGGAAAGCAGGAAGGGCACCCAAGTTCCTACATGTGCTGGTCCTTCACCCTGTCCAGGGCTCTCCTGCTCTGGTTCTGCCCAGCCTGGGCACAGAGGGAGGGTCCCACAGACCCACTAGCAGGGAAGACATGAGGACTTTGTCCCTAAGATGTGATGTGCCAATTAAGGTTCCTCTAACTGGGAGAAAGCCGGAGCTCTGTGGACACTGTCCTCTCTGTTGGTGGCCCAGCTACCTGAACACCCAGGTCTCCCCCAGCCTGGTTGGTCCCCAGGGTTGAGGGCTGCTCAGTCACTAAAGGTGCTCCACAGCCCTCTCGTGGCCAGAACAGGTATGACAGGGGCGTGACCAGGCAGGCTTCCTGGTGCTGCCCTGGACGTCCAGGCCACAGGTGAAAATGAGATTCAGAAAGGCCAGGGCAGCTAGTCAGAGGCAGAGCCCCCACCTCACTCCCGCAACCTCTGCGCCCTCCTCCCAGCACTCAGTGCCCGTTTCTTGCTGTCCCTGCTGGAGGGGAACCTCCCGAGGACCCAGGCCAGGCTGTCCCTCCCCCCCTGCAGGCCCGTGGCAGGCACTGGCCGCATGAAAGTCTTAACCACTGATTGGCTGAGGACCCACCTGCGCCAGGCACTCTTCTGACACCTCATTTCCTTCTCATAGTGGCCTGTGAAGGATGTCCCCTTGCCACCGCCATTTTATGGAGGAGACTAAACCTTGGAGAAATCTTTAAAATCTGCAAGTTCTGTAGCTGGAAAGTGGCTCTGAGCCCAGGTGGCCTGGCCCCGGAGCCCATGTTGCAGCTGCAGGGCTGCAGGCAGAGCTGGTCAGCAGAGCCCAGGGAGGCCCTGGACAGCTGGCCCCACGGCCCATCTCCAGGCTCGGCGGGCCTCCTTCGTGGCTGACTGCAGGGCGGCTCAGCCTGAGGGTACAGACCGGTGGGTGATCTCTTGCTGCTTTGTGATAACCAGACAAGCTCAGGGCATCTTCTGTGCCTTTTATCTCACAGGAGGATCCCGTCACCCACACCTCCCTTCCTGACATGTCGTGGGCCTCTGTCAGGGGTTACCTGATGATGGATGGTTGACAGCCAGACAGATGGCACCCTGGTTCTAGTCCCTGTTCTGGGACTGCCAAGAGGGTGCTCCCTTTCCCTTTGGGGGCCTCATGTTCACTCTGGAAAATGGGTGGGGTAGGGGAGGGTCAGAAAAGTTGTCATGGAGACATAGTTGCTCTATGAACCAGCAGGAGCTTGGCCCCAGGACCCCGGAGGATGCCAGAATCCAAGGACGCTCAGGTGCCCTCTACGAGATAGTGCAGTGCTGGCATGTCCCCCTGGCGCATCCCCCTGTGTTCTTTAAATCGTCTCTAGATGACTGATCACACCTCACACAAGTGCTCTACAGTGGTACGCAGTGTTGTTTAGAGAATAACAATGAGGAACGAAGTCTGTACGCGTCCGACCTGCAGTTTTTTTTCTGATTATCTCCCATCTGGGGCGGGTTCCGTCTGCAGATGTAAACCTGCAGCTCCCGAGGGCGACCCTGTCTCCCCACCTGGTTGTCCACCTGCTTCCTGGAAATCAGCCTGACAGGGGTTGACAAAGGACAAGAGTGTGGAGACTGAAGGGACATCGAAGGAGGCTGAAGGAGCGCAGTCACCGGGGTTGTCCTTCCTCCCGACAGCCTTTCCTAGATACCTTGCAGCCTCAGTCTCCATTCTGTACAGGGGCATGACAACATGTCCCTGCAAGGAAGGGACAGAGCCACAGCCAACCCAGACAGCACCCATGAACCTGCTTTGGAAACCAGAATGTCCCCTGCCTGGGCGGGAGGCGAGTTTCCCTCGTGTGCACGGTGACATCTTTCAGAAATATCTGGACGGGGCTGCCCAAGGCCAGCAGGGTGGGTCCTGTGGTGACCAAAGGCCTTTTTCTCTTCTCCCTCCAGTTACGTTCGCTGTTACTACTGGGCCGTGAAGACCCTCATCACCATCGGGGGGCTGCCCGACCCCCAGACCCTCTTTGAAATTGTCTTCCAGCTCCTCAATTATTTCACGGGGGTCTTCGCTTTCTCCGTGATGATTGGACAGGTAGCCGGGGCCCCAGCCTGCAGTCCCCCCCACACCTGCAGACCCCTCCCCCCACTGCTTCCAGAAGCCTTGCTCTCCCTGCGTGTTGCCTTGGGACTGAGCCTGAGAAAGAGCCCCGGGCTGTGGGGTCCCTCCCTCTCTGAGGTCCTTCCCACTTGAAATGCCCGTCGGGTGTCTGGGGGAGCCCGTCGCAGGGTTTTCTGGAAAGGCGGGGGACTTACTTGGCCTGTGCCCTGTGAGAGAAACTGCTGGTGTCTCCACCTGCGGGGGGAGTATTCATACTCTAGTTAGTGCTGGAGGTGACCATCGGGGTCCTCAAAACCACTCCGAGGAACAGCATACAGTAGGTTCCTCTTCCTCCAGCAAGGGCTTGGCCCACAGCAAGAGGGGCCATGCTGTAGCAGAATCAGCCCAGACCAGTGAGCTTCCAGGGACCCAAGGCCAGCGCAGTGGGCAGCAGCCCCTCACCCTGCCCATGTCCACGCGGAGGCAGGACTCCCTCCCGCCCCCTGTCTGTGAGAAGCGACCCCTCCCCACCACCCTGCAGCTCACTGACTCCCCTGCCCTCTCCCCCAGATGAGAGACGTGGTGGGGGCGGCCACGGCGGGACAGACCTACTACCGCAGCTGCATGGACAGCACCGTGAAGTACATGAACTTTTACAGGATCCCCAGGTCCGTGCAGAACCGGGTCAAGACCTGGTATGAGTACACCTGGCACTCGCAAGGCATGCTGGGTAAGATGGGCCTGCCCCGGGTACCAGCTCCCCACCCAACCCCTGCCACCTGGTGCCGGGCTTCCCAGATGCTGCCCTCGTCCCGTGTCCCAAACGCTGCCCTCGCCCTGGTCTCCAGCTGGGCCTCTCTTGGCTGCGATGTTGAGAGAGGGGCCTCCTGAGGCCTCTGGGTACCTCCAGCTGGGACCTGGGACCCCCCAAAACCCGAGGGTCTTGTCTTCTGGCACCGGTGTCTCCTCACCTCACTCCCCAGCAGGCGCAGCCCCATCAAAGGTTCAGCACAGTTTAAATCAGGAAAGAGGAAGCCTCTCCTCCGCCTCCTCCCTCTTTGCTCTCCTCTCTTTCCTCCCCTGGGTGCGCACAGCAGACCTGGCCCCTGCTCTCCTGGGGCAGGCGGCTCTGGGCCACCCAGCCTGGGAGGGATCCTGCCTCTGTGCCCTGTCTGCACAGCCCTGGCAAAGCCTCTGCCCTTTCCTGATCACAGCAGCGGACCCTCTTGGGTTACTGGGACAACTGAATAAAATACTCTTTGTACAAAATTCTGTGAATACCTGGTACCTGGTCATCGCTTGCTCCTGTTCTTCTAGGGTGACTGGGAAAGCAGCTCACACACCATTGCAGTCAAGGGCGTGACAGGTCCTATAGCACAGGGACACAGAATCTGGGGGTGGGGGGTGATGTTCAGGGGAAGCTTCCTGAAGGAGATGACGTTAGTGCTGGGTTTTAAAGGGTCAGTAGGAGTTCATTAGGGAACCGCATTCCTGGCACAGGTGTTGGTAAAGGCCTGGAGGCCACAGGAGATGCTTTCAGGGTCTTTCAAGAATGGTTTGCGCTTCAGGGGAAGGTGGGCTGCGTGAGCCAGAGCAGGGGTCTCGGCCAGGGCCTGCGTGGGGCGGGGCTGGCCTCGCCTCTGACCCTTGCCAGGTCTTGTTCACAGATGAGTCAGAGCTGATGGTGCAGCTTCCAGACAAGATGCGGCTGGACCTCGCCATCGACGTGAACTACGACATCGTCAGCAAGGTGGCACTCTTCCAGGTACCCCGCCAGTGCCCTTTCCCTGGGGCCTCTGGAGGGACCCAAGCCCAAGACCTCCGCTCAGTGGGCCTCCTTTCCCCCTTCCTTGGGCAGGGCTGTGACCGGCAGATGATCTTTGACATGCTGAAGAGGCTGCGCTCTGTCGTGTACCTGCCCAACGACTACGTGTGCAAGAAGGTGAGCGGCCGGGGCCTGCACAGCCGCCCGCCCTCCCGGGCACCGGCTGGAGTGCCTTCCTGATGGCCCAGAGACGTTTGCAAGCCCCCAGCCACTTTAGCCCTGTGCACTAGAGCCCCAGCTGACCTGGATCAGTGTACCCGGCCCCAGGCAGTGGACGTGCACCGAGGTGCCCCAGGATTTGCAAAGCGTTCCCATCCCTCCCCCCGCCTGAGACCAGGGGCGCAGGATGAGGATTCCCGCCTTGTAGAAGAGGGAATCGAGGGGCCTCACCGTGCAGATGGAACTGCTTCCGATGCCTCCGTCTTTCTATCAGGAAAATGGGAGGGAAGAGGGGTGGGCCCTGGCTGGAGGCTGCAGGCTGGTGCCCTTGTGAGGTTTAGTGGGTTTTTTCCTTAATCTTTTTCTTTCCCCCAAGTTGAATTGGTCTCTAGCCTTCAAAAAATGGAAGGTTTCAGATAGAAGTCTGGATGGGTGGCTGACTGGGCCCCATGCTGGAACATAGAGCTGGAAGGAAGGAGGCTGTCCCCAACGGGCATCACATCATGCCCTCTCCTGAGGCCAGGCCCCCCCACTCCACACCCCCCCCCAGCCCACCTTTACTACCTTCTTCACGTCACCCACCCGAGCCCAGAAAACACATGGGTTTGAACCCTGAACTTGACAGTGCCCAGTGCCCCCTCTGTTCCCTGTCTTTGGCATTTAAGGTGACACCAAGGTCAACTGGGGAGGGGACAGTACCCAGGGTTAGTCCTCTCGCTCAGAGCTGGTGACGAAGCTGGGAATGTGTTCGGGGTGAAAATGTTGCCTGTAAGATCTGGGAGCCCTCAGCCCCAGAAGGTGCCCGACGAGGTAGCATCCTGGACAGCAGTGAAGTCTCTGGAAGCAGAGAGCTGGGGGACAGGAAGGAAAAACTGCTGCAGGAGGCCGAGGTTCAAAGTTCCCGGGAGGGATCTGGGAACAATCAAGTGATGTCCCTGACACTGGAGCCCTGTCCTCGCGGTGCAGCTGAGCCAGCGTCCGCCCTTCCTGCTCGGCTCCTGGGCGACGAGGGGCCATTGGTAGTGCCTCCGTGTGGGGGTGGGCTGGGAGGGGAAATATGAGCCCATGGCTTGGCACTGTGCCTGGCACAGAGCAATGACAATTGCGTGGCTGTTATCTGCCTGGGGACCGCCGTTGGCAGTAGGTGAGAGGACGGCAGCAGGTGTTGGGAGTCGGCCGTTCCCAGCCCCGTGAGTGGCGCCCTCTGCTGGCGGTTTTGCTCGGCGACACTCTCCAGGGGCGGCCTTCCCGAGACGGGGAGCTTGGTGACCCTCACACTTTGGCCTCGTGACAGACTGAACGTGGAAACAGGAAGGCCCACTACCTCCCCCTTTCTCGAAGAGGGTCACGGTGTGAGAAGCGCAGGAAACATTTGGTGAACAAACCTAAAGTGTCACGGGTTCCTGTCCTTGGCCTCTCCCCATTTCAAATATGCCAGGCATGACGGACAGGTGGCAGGCCTCTTTTGCTGGCTTCTTGATGGCCTTCTTCTCTGTGTCCCTTCATATCATCTCTCCTCTATGCCTGTCTGTGTCCAGTTTCTCTTTTTTGGGGGGTGGGGCAGGTACTGGGAATTGAACTCAAGGCCGCTTAACCACTGGGCCGCATCCCCAGCCCTTTTTACTTTTTATTTTGAGACAGGGTCTCCCTCAGTTGCTTAGGACCTTTTAGTTGCTGAGGCTGGCCTCAAGCTTGAGATCCTCCTGCCTCAGCCTCCTGAGTCACTGGGATTACAGGCGTGTGCCACCGTGCCCGGCCCCAGTTTCCCTTTGTGTAAGGATGCCAGTCAGATTGGATTGGGCACCCAGCACCCACCCGACTCCAGTACAGCCTCATCTTAATTGAATTACACCTATGGGGAGCCTATTGCCAGATACGGTCACACTTTAAACTACTGGAGATTACAATTGGGACAGATAATGGGGGCGGAGTGGGGAATTCCACCCATAACAACCATGAAAACCACGAACTCTGGAACCAGCTGGATCTAGTCCTGGCTCTGCCTCGTCCTTGCTTTATGACCTTGAGAAAAGCTCAGTCCTGCCTCCAAGGGTGCGGAGCCTTCTGAAGGTACAAGTGCGCGGGGCACTCAGACCAGGGCTGGCACCACAAAGCGTCATGGACCCGCGGGGCTTGGTGGTTCCTGAGTTAGCAAACACCTGGTAGGTGCTGGGCCTGGACAGTCACTCACAGCCTGGGCCACTGTCCTGGTCACTGTCCCATGTGCCACACCCCCATTGCCAGGTAGAGCTGGGAATTGCAGGAGACCCTTACGCTAGCACCTGGCACGTGGCTGGTTTTTCTCTCCTGCGACATGCTGACCCTCCCCTCGGGAGGCCATCAGTCGGGCAGGCAGGGCGCACTGGCCTCCCCGGTCCACAGATGAGGAGTCTGAGGCCCAGGTGGGACGTGATTGGCCCCACGGGCTCAGTCTTGGTGCCTCCTCCCTGGGCCACCAGCCTCGGAGCCCAGCCCTCGCCTCTTCCCTGCTTGCTCTGAGGGGGACAGAAGGACTCTCCGCGGTCTGTTTCAGGGGGAGATCGGCCGGGAGATGTACATCATCCAGGCGGGGCAGGTGCAGGTTCTGGGGGGCCCTGACGGGAAGTCTGTGCTGGTGACACTGAAAGCTGGATCCGTGTTTGGAGAGATAAGGTCAGGAGGGAGCTGGGCGAGTGGGAGGCTCTGGGCAAAGGCTGGGGCAGGGGCCGCGGTGGATCTTGGGAGACTGGGTGGGCACAGCACGGGCACCTGCTGGCATTTGCACGCTGAGTCTGGGCTCTCAAGTCTGTGGGGTCACCGTTGTGCTCCACGCAGCGGGGGATGCACCGTTGATCGTGACCACAGCCATGATCCTGGGCGGGGAGGTGCGCACCTCTGGTCCCAGCCACCTGCGAGGCTTGAGCCCAGGGGTGCAAGACCAGCCTGGGCCATAGCAAGACCCCATCTCAAGAAACAGAACCCCAGACTCCCCCAGCCTCGGAAGGCTCTCACCTCCTCCCCTCTCCACCCAGTCTGCTGGCCATCGGGGGCGGGAATCGGCGCACGGCCAACGTGGTGGCCCACGGCTTCACCAACCTCTTCATTTTGGATAAGAAGGACTTGAATGAAATTTTGGTGCATTATCCTGAATCTCAGAAGTTGCTCCGGAAGAAGGCCAGGTACACAATTTACTTGTTTGGTTTTGTTTTTCATTAACCTAACCACGGTACCTTTACCAAAATCAGGACATTTAACATGGAAACAACACCCTTATCTACCTGGGACCCATTTCAGATTTTGCTAATCTCCCAGGGGCGTCTCTTTTGGCTTGGCTTGGCTTCTGTTCCTTCCTGGATCAGACCCAGGGTCATACGTCACATGGGGTCGCCACGTGTCCTTTGTCTCCTTGGATCTGGAACCACTAGTCAGCTGGCTTCTCTCTTTACTGACTTTGATTGCTTGGAATTGCACTGTCCCTCAGTCTGGGTTCCCCCGACGTCTTCTTGTGATGACCCTCAGGTTCAGATGTAGGGCAGGAGTGACCCTGTGTCTGTCTCAGTGAGCTCATCACGGACTTGCGGAGCTGGTCTGATGGTTTTTAATTCAATCTCGTGGTTCAGTTCTGCACTATAGTTAGTGTTTTTCTCTTTATAATTAATAAGTAACTACAGGGCAGTGACTTAAGAACCATTCAGGTGTCCCACTCCTCTTAGAACTTTTTATTTTTGGTACCAGGCATTGAACTCAGGGGTGCTTAACCACTGAGCCACATCCCCAGCCCTTTTAATATTTTATTTAGAGACAGGGTCTCGCTGAGTGGCTCAGGGCCTGGCTAAGTAGCTGAGGCTGGCTTTGAACTCTCGATCCTCCTGCCTCAGCCTCCCGAGCTGCTGGGATTCCAGGCCTGCGCCACCGCGCCCGGCTCATAAAACTTTCATCTCTTACCTTTAGCATCTGCTGGCTGTTCCTTGCTAAATTTCCCAAAGTCCACATTTTATAAAACTGTATGCCCAGACAAGCGTCCCCTACTGCCACCCACCCCTGGGGGTGGCCAGCCTCACTGGTGTCTGCATTTCATTCCTGTGTTGACTTTTACAACAGGAGGCAGATCCACGGCTGTGTTCTCATTTTCCCTTCCCCGTTGCTCAGAGGCAGCAAACCATAGATTCTTTTTGCACCTGGCTTTTCCCCCTTGACAAAATATCCTGGGAGCTGCTTTCTCGGTGCACGGACGGCTTCCTTGTCCCCTTCAGCGGTTTGCACGACATTCCTGTGAGTGTGCACTGAGGGTATTTCCAGCGTTTTGCAACCCGTGACCTTGTGCACCTGTATTTTGTATTATTGGAAAATAGGTCATTTATAAATTTTTTATTTTTATTTTTTAGCAAAGCAGGGCTTTGCTTTCAGATCCTTAAGATTGGGCTTCAAACTGAGCGGCAGAGGCAGTACCCGGTGGTAGAAAGCCCAGAATAGACTTGGGAGTCCGATGAGGCTCAACTCCCTTCCATGTGAGTTACTGGCTGTGTTTCTTTAGGAAAGTTGCTAAACTTTTCTGGTCTCAGTTTTTGCCTCTGTAAAATAAAGGTGACCACCCCTGACTTTGCCGTTGTGAAGATTCAATAAACCAGGGGGCAAGAGCATCTCTGTGGGGTGCCTGGCAGGTGCTCGCTTCATGATGATAATCCTCGGGTTCCCCTTTTTACCCATTGAATTCTCCCTCAAGTTTTTCATTTGGAAAAAAACATCGAGGAACAGCACAGAGAGGTCAGAGGAAGGGAACAAGTCACCAACAACCATTCATCCAGCACAGAGTTCTAGGCCCTGGGGACACAGCAGGGATCAAAGCTCACATTCTACTCAGGGTGACTGACAATGGAAAAATGGGTGTTCTGGGAGGTGTCAGCTGTGGTAGGGGCCATGAGAAAATAAAGGCCATGTGCAGAGACAGAGGAGATGGAAGGGGCTATTTGAGACAAGCTGGGCCGGGGACACGAGTCTCAGGAGGTGGCATTTCAACCAAGACTTTCACAGAGGGAAGAGGGGGAGCTGGGAGTGTTTTCCGCAGGGTAAAACATTCCAGGCTGGAGGAATGGCATGTGCAAAGGCCCTGAGGTGGAGCAACCTCCGTGTGTGGGCAGAGAAACAGCAGGAAAATGGGTGTCGCTTGATGTGGGACCAGAGAAATGGAGGGAAAGAGATTGTGTGGGGCCTTGTAGGCAATGACTTGGCAATGGCTTTGGCTTTTACTCTGAGGAAGACAGGAGCTGTGGCATGTGGTAGAGCCAAGCCGCCCACCTCACGGCAGCCTGGACGCAGACAGACAGCTTACATACGGCAGAGTTGCTTGATGTGACAGGTGTTTACAGGATTCCTTTGGCAGCTTCAAGGTGAGAGGAGGCAGGGCTGCTACTGAAGCATCACATGCATCTGGCGCCGAGGCCCCTGGGGAAGGGAGCTGCCTGTAACTCAGCATATCTGGCTGCTCTCAGGAAGCCCACCTGGGCCCTGCCATGGGCCAGTGTACTAGAACTTTCCTGACCTGATCTGCCCACTGTCCCTGTCATAGCAGGTGTACAAACCAGCTCCTCCTCTCCTGGGGGCAGGAAGTGGAGGAGATCCTCATTCTCACCATTTCCACTCTACATTCTCCACTCACTCATTTCCTGGGTACCCCAAGATTGGCGCTCACAGGCTTCAGTCAGGACATGCCCAGAGTGACCAAAAACTTGGGTCACTCAAAATGCATGTTCCCAGCTGAAGTCAGATGAGGGGACCCTCTGCCTCCCTGTTGGCGCTCAGCCCTGTTACAAAATACCTGGGATGAGCAACCCGTGAGGAGCAAGGACTTATTTTGGCTCATGGTTTCAGAGGGTCCAGCCCGTGGTCCCCTGGCCGGGTGGCTTTGGGCCTGTGCTGAGGCAGAACACTGTGGCCGTGTGGTACAGCCAAGCTGCCCACCTCACGGCAGCCTGGTCGCAGACAGACAGGCAGACAGAGAGAGAAAGGGCAAAGGCTCCCCTGCCTCTTCAAGGCCACACCCCCAATAACCTAACTTCCTTCCCCTAGGCCCCACCTCCTCAGGGTTCCACCACCTCCCATAGCTCTGCAGGCTGATGACCAGGCCTTGAGCACATGGGCCTTCGGGGAACATTTGAGATCTGTGGTCATTTCAGGGCCACATTTTTCAAATTGTGTTTGTCCTCTTCGTTGGTGACTTTGCTGTTTAAAATGGTCCCCTAGCACAGGGCCAAAGTGCCACTGCTGTGTTCCCAAGCACAGGAAGGCTGCCGTGCGCCTGCACAGAAAGTAGGTGTGATGAGCTTCGCTCAGGCCTGAGCCCGGCACCGCTGGCTGTGGTCAGCACTGATGAGGCCAATGTCATTCGTAAGGGAGGCCGTGGACGGCGGTTGACAACGCTGTGGTGAGAGGTTCCGGGGCCTCACCTGTGTTTTCTTTTGGTTTCGTATTTGCTGATTCAGGGTCTGCAGACACCTTACTGAACAGGATTCTCGCAAATCGTGCAATTCAACTGTCCACGTCTGAAACTGCCTTCAGGGCCCCTGCTCTGTCTCCCTGTCCCTCCCCCCGCAGAGGAACATGTCTCAGGGGCACAGTTGGCTCCCTGTCCCTCTGGAGGGGAAGGTGAGCTATTGGCAATCAGGAGGGCCCTCGCCAGGGCCGTGAAGGGTCCCTGTTCCCTACAGTGTCCCCAAGACCCTCCCGACTGCGGGGTGGCAGAGGAAGGGAGAGGGATGAGACCAGGGCATCCCAATCCCTCAGAGTGGCTGTCCCCTGCCTTGGGACAGGCCAGCTTGGAGAACTGGGAGATGACTCTGCCCATCAAAGGAGAGACTGTCTGAGACCCACAGACACCTGAGTTGACGAGGTCCACTCAGGGGATTCTGTCTAAGACCCCCACTTCACAGATAGGGACCCGAGGCCCTAAGGAAGTGGGGCGCCCACGGTCCTGGCCTGGCCACTCCAAGTCAGGGGCTGAAAGGTGTGCTCGGGGCCCCTTTCCCAGGGCAGTACCTCGCCCTAATGAACGGGAAGCTCATCCACCGATGATGAGGACAGATGTCCTCACTCTGGAACGTCCCCAAGGCCAGCACGGTGTTTTGGAACAGGGCCAGCCGCTAGCGATCGGCAAAAGTCCTATGGAGAGCGCCTTTGTGTCCTTCCTGTGGACTGCCGAGCCATGAACTATGGACTCAATAACCCAGGTGACGGTGCCAGGCCGGTCTCTAAGAGGCCCTGATGAATCGCCATGTTGGTGCCCTCCGGGGGAGCCCAGTGAGAACATGCAAATCTTGGGCAAATAATATCAACACCCACAATTCAGACCCACGGCCTCTGATTAGAGGAGCAGCCGGGAATGGCCTCATTTTTAAACAAATAAGTTGCGCCGGAATGCTGATGAGTACGCTTGCCGGCTGGTCATCTGGGCCAGCTAGATGGCAGGTGACGTCCATTTGTTCCTGAGCTAACCCACTCAGCACATACTCGGGGCAGGAAAAATGTCTTGTAAAAGGGGGGGGGGCTGTGTTTGATGGAAAATTCTATCCTCACTTAGAGAAACAGGGTGGCACGGGGCACTAGATCCGGACTGGGATCCTGCCTCTGCCACTTCCGAGCAACCTTGGACATGTGCTCCCCCCACGGTGGGTTTGAATTCTAGCTCTGTGGCTTCCTGGCTGTGTGGCCTTGGGAAAGTTACTCACCCACTCTGAACATCTGCATCCTCCTTTGGAGATGAGAGTCTGGGGATGGCTTATCTGGACCTGTCATCAAGGTGACAGCCAGGGCCAGGTTGCATTTCAAGTCTTCATGGGGGGAGGACCTGATTGCAAGGTCACATGGTCGTTAGCTGAGTTCAGATCCTTGGGGCTGCAGGAAGGGGTGCTTCTGTGCCTAGCTAGCTATTGGCCAGCAGGGTCCCCAAATGTGGCTTCATCAGAGCCAGTGGGGGAGTCTCTTTGCAAGACCAAGATCCCAGTCTTGGGTGGCTCCGGCAGATGAGGTTGTGGATCTTGTAAGAGCTGCATGTCTCCCTGGTCCTGCCGGGTGGGGATCCCACAGAGGGGTGAGCACCAGGAAGGGGGGCTGGGGCCCCCAGAGTGCTGTGACGGGGAGCACAGGGCCCAGCCCCTAGGCACTCAGGCCCCCAGGGTCTGTTTCCTGTTGCTGTGAGAATCCCCGGGCTGGGGGCGGGGCTTGGGCCTGGGTCCCAGATCTGCCCTCAGCACTGCCAAGAAGAAAAGCAATACCTGGTGGGGGGGGGCACGGGATACAGAAAGGAGGTGTGTTTGGCTCCCAGTCTATAGGTCAAGGGCAGGGGCTCAGTGCTGGCTATGGGCTTGGCTCTGTGAGGACCCCACAGCAGATGCCATCATGATGGGAGGAGGTTGGAGAAAGACCTCACAGTAGGACAGGAAGCCAGAGAGAGAGGAGGGCAGCCAGGCTCCCCCTTGTATGACAACCCTCTGGGACCCGTGACATCGTTCCTTCAGTGACCTCATTACTATATACCGAGCACCCCCTCTTCAAGGTTCCACCACCTCCCCCAACTCTCCCAAATGAGAGCCCAACATGTGGTTCCTTGGGGGACACAGTCAAACCATATCCACACCTTACCACTGTCCTTTAGTGAGTCCTGTGTGACCAAAGATGAGTTACTTAACCTCTCTGAGCTCCAGCGTCCATAAGGACCTCTACATCCAGAAGACCCACCTCATGGTGGATGTTCTGATCCTTCAAGGAGGTCTGGGCATACACACCGAGCCCTGTGCTTGGCTCAGAAAAGGTGCCCCCAAGCCATCAGCCACCCCCCCCACCAGCACAGAGCTCTGACCCAGAGGGACTGCACGGAGGAGGTGCCGCTCCCCCCCCAGGGTGCTCCCGATGTGAGCAGGCGGCTCTCCTTCAGGCGCATGCTGAGGAACAACAACAAGCCCAAGGAGGAGAAGAGCGTGCTCATCCTGCCCCCGCGGGCCAGGACCCCGAAGCTCTTCAACGCGGCCCTCGCTGCAGCAGGGAAGATGGGCGGCAAGGGCGGCAAGGGGGGCAAGCTCGCCCACCTCCGAGCCCGCCTCAAGGAGCTGGCCGCGCTGGAGGCCGCCGGGAGGCAGCAGCAGCTGCTGGAGCAGGTGAGGCCCTTGGGACCCAGACGCCCTGTCTGTTTCCGGTTTGTGCCAGGGAGGCCGGGGGACCTCTGAGAGTGGCACTCACTTGGTATTAGGGACCCCTACGCACAGATTCTTTCCATCAGGCAGGACTCATTGGGTGGCCAGGGACAGGCGGCAAGTTCCAATTAGCTGAGGGAATCGGGGAGGCAAGTCATAGACAAGTTCAGGTAAAGCTGGATCCAGGAGCCCAAATGGGGCCAAGAGGATCTCACTACAAACCTTCTGTCGCGATGGTTTTCTTCGGTGAGGCTCCACTTCCAGGCAGGCCCCTAAGATCCCATCCTCCTGGTGTCCCCACTCCACCAGAGAATACCTCTTCCCCAGAGATCCAAGCAAAAGTCCCGGGACTCACTGTCCCTGGCCAGAACTGGCCCACACGACAATTTGGGAGCCATCTGGTGCAGCCAGTGGAGCGTGGTACTCGGGAGGGACCCAGGCCACATGCCCAGCCCTGGGCAGAGAGTGGCAGGATGGGGTGGGGAGGTGGAAGAGAGCATCTGGACAGGGAATGTCCCTCCCCGGGGTCAGGGGGAACTTCACACTGTGTCTGTGACCCATTAAAAGATCTGACAGGAGCACTCCCACAGACAGGCACAGCGTGGGGCCCCCACCCCCATAAAGCTGAAGGGAATATTAAAATTAGTTCTGGGATTTTTTTTTTCTGTGACTAAAGCCAAGAATGCCAATTAGAATAATTATGTTAATTATGTCTGTTCATGACCATCCCTTAGGGAGGCTGCCAGGGAAGGAGGTGGCCGGGGCAGGCGAGCGCTCAGTGGTGGGGCTCTCTGGGGGTACTGACAGCAGGACACACGACAGGGTTCAAGGGAGCCCGGTGAATTCCACCTCCACCCAGGCTGGTGTCAGAGTCCAGGGGACCCATCCAGGGGTCACTGATGGCAGGAGTGTGGTGAGTCTGGGGTTCTGAGATAGCCTCTAGACACCAATGGCCACAGATTGAAGAAAGATGTGATTGCTGAGCTCGGCAATCACCAAGGTCAAGGCGGAGCCCGGGCTGGGGTCATGAGCGCTGGCTGCTGTATGGGGCTGAGCGGACATGGACTCCCAGAGTGCGCTCAGTGCAGAGGAAGGCTTCAGCTGCAATGGATTCGTTGCTCCTAAGTGTCATCTCGTCACTGAGCTGTAAATTAAATTTGCATGAGGGTTCTAATAAAAGGCATTTCTTCTGCAATTTAGAACAACCAGGGCAGAATGGCAGAGCACGAGGAGCTGTTAGAAGTGCAGAGATGCAGGTCGCAGGTCGAAATCCCAGCTCTGTCACCTGCTAGTTTCATGGCCCTAGGTACCCTGAGCTTTCTGCAACCCAGATTCCTCATCGTTGCCCCGTGGGGTCGTGAGAGCAAGCAGGCCACTTTGGAGACCATTTATAAGAGCATTTTGAACACGGAAAAGCACTTCACTAGGCTTCCTGTGATTCCCCTGGCTCTGATCAAAGCATGTGCTTCAGACGTCCCCTCTGAGCACCGTGCCCTGGAAGGGTGTTGTCCGAGTTTCGGGTGGACAGGGGAGGACAGAACAGGTGCACCAAGACAGAGGGAGCAGCAGGTCCCTGGAGCTGCCTGGTGTTCTAGGAGCACCCTGTCCCCTGGCTCACTGTTCCCTTCCTTTAAAACCCTACGACTTGGGCGAACTTCAGGGGTCCCTGTTCCTCACAGCATGCCGGTCGCTCTCCCTTTCAACTTACAACCACTGCCTCAAGTGGGTCTCAGGCACCTGAGGACCATCTGGCCTCATCCTCTGGGGGCGGCTCCTGGTCCAGTTTCCTTCCATGTAGAAATGGGTCAGGCAGCAGGCAGGCCCACAGGCAGCCACGGGGCTTCAGTTTGGTTTTTAGTTTTGTTTTAGCCCAATTCCCTAGCTGGGAGCCGTGGCCCGTGCCTATAATCCCAGCAATCAGGAGGCTGAGGCAGGAGGATCACAAGTTCAAGGCCAGTCTCTGCAACTTAGCAAGGCCCAAGAGGACTTAATGAGACCATGTCTAAAAAAAAAAAAAAAACCCAGGATGGCCAGTGTAGTGACACACACCTGTAATCCCAGAGGCTCAGGAGGCAGAGACAGGAGGATGGCAAGTTCAAAGCCAGCCCCAGCAAAAGGGAGGCACTAAGCAACTCAGTGAGACCCTGTCTCTGAATAAAATACAAAACAGGGCTGAGGATATGCCCCTGAGTTTAATCTGTGGTACCCAAAAAATAAAAAATAAAATGGGCTGGGGATGTGGCTCATCCTTGGTGAGCATCCTGGGGCTCAATCCCCAGTACAAAATAAATAAATAAACCCAATTTGCTGTTGCTACACAGGCCATGGCCAATGTCACAGGAGGAAGCACAGGCTAGGAGGAGGTGTCTGCCCTGTCCAGGAGTATGGGGTCAGCTCAGCCTAATGCCAATGGCATCCAGCCCCATCCTCCCCTGATCCAACCCTTGGGCTCCTGTGGCTCCTGCCCCCATCAGCCTCTACCCTGCCAGCTCAGGGGTTTTCTGTCTCCCCACGATCATCCACACCTGGGAGTGGGCGGGGCAGCTCGGGTCACCTCCCTCAATAGTTGCAGAGGTTTCCTGCTCTGCAACCCAGGATGTTCCAGAACCTTCCATGAAATCCAGCTGGGACTTTCTGTCCTTAAACTTACACATAGCATATTCTGCTGTTTCCAAATAACCTCGATAAGCTGCCCTGACCGAGCAGACGTCAGCCGGGGGCACCCACCGTCCTGCTCTTTGGGCCCGAGAAGACGGAAACTAGGAGGTACCCAGACTCCTCCAGACCCCCTGGGCGTTTGTTTCTCACCTATCATCCTTTTTGAATTTCAGGCCAAGAACTCGCAAGAAGCCACAGGAGAGGGGGGCGAGGCAGGCTCTGCCGCCCAGGACCAGCCCCCGGCCCCCTCGGCCCCCTCGGCCCCCCCTGGCCAGTCTGCGCCCCAGGAGCCCCCGGCCGCGCGCTCTGCGTCGCCTGCTTCCCCCAGGAAGCCCGAGGCAGGCGGGGAGGGAGTGGATGGGCCGGAGGAGCACTCGGTGCGGATCAGCATGAGCCCTGGCCCGGATCCAGGCGAGCAGTCTCTGTCCATAGAAATGCCCGAGGAGAAGAAGGAGGCGGTGGAGTGAGTGAGGGTCGCCCGCGCCCCCTCTGGCAGGTGCACCCGCCTGCCCGCTGCGCCCTGTGCAGCGCCCGGTGAGTCCGAGGACGCCTGCCCGCTTTAGTGGCCTCAGTCGAGCCAACCTTCCCGTTCCTACGATGCCTCCTGATGGACTTGGTCTTGAAATCAGCAAATTTCCATCAAATGTCGGTGTCCCCAAGCTCCCACAGTCCCGGGACCCCGCTGTGGTTTATATTTTAAAAGAACAAAATCACTTTCCGCTTTTAAAATTCATCTGCAGGTAATGAGGCTCTGGAAGCTTTTGGAGAAGTCAGGTCTGGGAGTGGGAGGGCTTCTCCGCAGGGATTCGTCCCCTTTATGTCCCCTTTATGTCAAGGGTAAGAAACAATGGTGGGGGCAGCCTGCTGTCCTTGGTGATCCTGGTCAGAACCGGGAATGCTGTTTTCCTTGGCTAGGCAGTTAAGGGACATTAAGGGACACGCAGCTTATCAGGCTGCCCTGCATGTTCCCCGGACTACATTCAATTGCCTGTCTGACGCCATTATGTCAGAGCAGATAAGAGGGAAATGACTTGGTGGAAATGGACTTAGCGTTCCCAGGTAAAGGGCAGCCCTGTGGGAGCATTCTCAGCCTGTCACCCTGAAAAGCCCCATTTCTCACCAGCAGGGATCAGGCTGTCACTTGCCTTAGACACCCTTGCTGTAGAAATGGTGGCAGCGACTTGGATTAATCCTCAAAAATGTAATCTCACAGCTGCTGACACCACTTAAATCCCTGAAGTCTCTCCAGATCATGTCATGTTTATATGATTAAAAAAAAAAAAAAAAAAAGCAGAAAGGGTTATTCAGTCCATGAATATTTATCAAGAGGATTTTATTTGCATACCGAATGGCTCTTGGGGGAGCCCATGACTAAAAACAAAATCTGGTATTGAACCATTTGTTTCCACCACCAGCAACCGTGAACCCGAAGGGCCTGAATTCCAGTAGGTTCTTCCCATTTTATATCAAATGACAGGACATGGGGAGCCCCTGAAGGGACTTCCCGAAGGCTCCAAACTGTAGTATTTGTCCTTTGGCTACAAACAACACTGTGACATTTTTAAACAATTTGGGAGTTCCCAGGTGGGTCCAAGCATTTCCAAATCCCAGAGTGATGAACAGATTTATCTCATTGATGTCATGTCATGTGATCTGGCAATCATTCCACTGAACGCCATTTCACTGGTACAGCCGTTCACGACATTGAATGTAATGATGATCAGCATTATTCTTCTCCTTTTAAAGGGTTTTAGTCATTTGTTTTAGTAGGTTAAAAACATTCACATGGGGCTGGAGACATAGCTCAGATGGTAGAGTGCTTGCCTTGAATGCACAAGGCCCTGGGTGCAATCCCCAGCACACACACACACACACACACACACACACACACAAAAATTCACATGGGTACAAAAGGATACTCAGGAAAAATGATTGATCCTATCCCTGGCTCCCAGCCTCCCTGGAGCCCTCTTTGGGAGTAATCACTGTTGTCAGCTTCCTGTGTATCCTCTCAGAGATATTTTATGCTTATGCAAGTAACTATGTATATTCATAATGTGCAATCTGATTGTCACGTACAGGGGCTGCCGGTGAGCTCGGTGGTGGGAGACTTACCTGGCATGAGCAAGGCTCTAGGTTTCACCCCAGCACTGGAAAAAATCTTGTATGGACCTAATTTCACTGGCAGAGTCTTTTTAAATGGGGAAGTTCTGGGAGTTTAGGAGGATTTCTTCCCTTACCCTCATTTATCATTCCCATATTCGCACCACATCTTCTAAGACCCAAGCACAGAGAATGCTTCCACTCTTAGCAAGTTATTTCTGATCTTCACAGAAGGTAAACATATTGCTCTTCTGTAGACGGCAAAATGTTTCAATGGCACCTTCAGTGTGAATCCTGTTTTATAAGGAATCTTTTGTATGTGAATGTTCTTCTTTCTTTAGTTGTCAATCCTTGACCATGTACTGCTTATTATGTAAAACAAGAGATTCTAACCGTTCTCAAGAATTGCCCTGGAAAGAAATTGATTTTGAAGTGAGATGAACAGTGCCTTAATTACTTCACTGAGCTATCTTAAATCAAATTCAACACTTTCCCAAAACCTGGATATTCGGTCAATTGAGTTCAAGACGGGCATTATTCTCCAAATTGAATTGGACTGTTGGTTGCTGAGATATGAACGGGACAGCTCAGAAACAGTGTCATTGTACAACCGAGGAATTCTAGGACCTTTATCTGCGAATGTTGAATCTCTGTGCATTTTGAATGTCTCAATATTTCCTGCATTTTGGTAGAAAATGAATAGCAAGTTATTTTTTTCAACTACATAAATATTTTAAACCAAACCAAGAAACTGTTTAAAATTTCATAATCAAAATGTGTTCAGCTATCAGGAATATTATAATCTGTTTCCTTAGTAAACATGAATACTTCACATACACACTTGGGCTTTCAGATTACAGCGCATTTTAATTAAAGTATTTAGACAAATGTTCTTGGCCCTTGGATTCATTTTAAAAGCCGGCTGTGTGTGACAGCACCTCCGTGAGCGGTACTAAGTGAATATCCTGGCTCAGGCGCCCTTGCTCATCTCCCACTGACATCTTTGGAGCCATAATCCATTCTTTATTTTGTCTCTGGGGTGTTGTCCTTATCAAACCCCCACGGCCCCTGGAATTCTAAGAGCCTCGAATGGACGGCCTTTTTATGTCTGGTCTCAGCAAACCAACTGTTCACAATTTCCCCAGCCAGTCTGTTCCATGACACAGTGTGCTCCTGAACACGGGCTGTGGATTCAGACCGTCTGGCTTCCAATTCCAGCTTGACTCTGAACCCCGATGATGTCATCTATGAGGTGAGGATAACACACTGTATCACACAGGACCACTGTGATGATCCGATCCAGAGGGCACTGCCAAGTCTGAATGGGCATGAGGAATAAAACCAAAGAGACACCCGCTTACTCTGCTGCAGAGGAGACTGGAAGCCACCCCCGCCCCAGGTCTCTCTCTCCTCTAAATTCTGCTTCTGAATTATACACACAGAATGGGACTGATCTCCTCTTTCTTGAAATTTTACAAGAGTTTGTACAAAGGGCTGGGCATGTGTTAATTATAGCACTATAAATCACGGTTTTCCCTACCAACGTTAACGGTTTAACTCACTCTCACATGAAACAGAGGCTAACACACTCCCTACAAGGCTTCCTCTCCTGGGACGCTAGGCATGTGACTTGTGCATTCACACAAGGCCCATGTCAGAAGGACTCTGTGTTGGAAATTAATAATTTTTGAACAAGTCTTGCATTTTTATTTGCACTGGGCCCACAGAATGACACAGCCTGTCATGGCTAGATAAGGAAGCCACCTGGTATCTGAAAAGGCCCGTGGGAGAGGGAGGCAGGGGTGTCTTTTCTGCCTCCAGCTCCTGCCTCCCTTCCCTTCCCCTTGGGAAGATTTCCTTTGGGTCACGGGTGGACCTCAGCTAGATTCTGTTTGCTAAGAATTCAACTCTTGACAGCGATTGCCACCTAACTCCTTGCTATCAGGGCACTGGTTTAGCTTTGGGCAACAACACAGCCACCCTCAGGAGACGAAGCCCTGTCCAAGCCAGTCCCTGTCACTGTCTCTTTCCCCTGACACCTGCCTCCCCAGCCTTGTCCATAGTGGAAGGATGATAGGAAGGATATTAAAGGAAAGACCCCCATTACCACTATCCTCCTTTCCTCCTGCTCATGATACGGATGCAAGAATATGTTTGGAGCTGCAGCAACCATCTTGTAACCCAAGAGTCAAACATCAGAGAGATGCAGATCTTGACATGTTTGAGTGGCCCAACCCACCCTGAGAGACTTAGCCCCAGACCACTTGCCATAGGAGATGATGGTCTATATTTATTATTGAAGCCATTCTCCCATCCTGATGTGAGGGATAAATGAAGAAGGAAAGAAAGAAAACAGGAACAGAGACGTCACAAACCTGACACCCTGGCCTGGCTGGACATGAGTTCCTACTGCTCAGATTCTTATTACCAGCTATGTCCCTGGCCTCCCTGGCCCTCCTGGCCTGTCCTCAGCCTCACCCTGATGACGCACACACTGCCTTGAGCTTTAGTCTGTTGGTTTCTGTTGCTCGCAATGAAGGAAACCTAAGCAAGGACTTGTGGGAGTTTCCTGATTATTTAAAACCCAAGATCTCTGCCACCTACTCTGGGTGTGACTTTTAGTCTAGCACAGGCACTTGGTTTCTGTTTAGAAACTATTTAAAAACAAGTCTGGGTTTCTAAATGCAAACATCAAGAAGAGCTCCTCAGAGAAGGCAACAGAGAATAGAGGAAGCGGGTTTGATCAAGACCCAGGTCACATACCTCTCTGTGGATGGACAGTCCACTGGGAGAGACTGTTCCAACCTGTCAGCAAACTTGAGCATGAAAGATATTTCCCAAGAACTTCTCCCAGCCCCTTCCCTGTGTTAAAGGCAGAAGGCTTGGAGCAGAACCCACCTCATTAAGGATCCTTTAGAATGATCCCGCCCCCTTTCGGTCTTTCACATCCTTAAGTGCTAAGAACAGAGGTGACTGTGCTTTGGGGCTGCGGAGAGCTTTCCCACTCGTTAGTTCTGCCCAACATTCTGCGGCAAAGTGATCAGGAAGGAAATGATAAGATCCACGATATTGATGAGGAAATTCTAACTTGATAGGCAAAAGGATCGGTTCTTAAGGAATCAGCACTTTGGCTAGAGGCACAAATAGCCAAAAGAAATGTCCTCCGCTGGCCACCGTCCTGTTTCTGCAGACTCATCTAAACTAAATGATTTTCATTCACTCGGTAAATATTTTTAAATTTTCTTCCTTTGTGCCAGGCACTGTTCTGCTTGCTTTCTGGACCTAAGACATTCCAACTCCATTTTTATTTTTTGGAACTGGGTCCTGAACCCAGAGTCTCACGCATGCTTAAGCCCAAGATCTACTGAGCTACATACAGTCCCAGCCCTTCCATCTCAACTGGGAGAAATAAAGCAATCCTCCCAGGGTGTTGTAAGAAGATTCAATGGATTTTAAATAAACCATTACCAGGGCTGGGGATGTGGCTCAAGCGGTAGCGTGCTCGCCTGGCATGTGTGCGGCGCTGGGTTCGATCCTCAGCACCACATACAAATAAAATAAAGATGTTGTGTCCCCTGAAAACTAAAAAATAAAATAAATATTAAAAAGTTCTCTCTCTCTCTCTTTAAAAAAAAATGAACTATTACCAAAAAATGTATGGGTCTTGTTAGTTAAGATTTCCTGGATTCGATATGCTAAGCAGTCTTTCTTCACCATCCCCGAAATGAAGGGAAAAGGGCACAATCGCGCTGCTTATGTTATTCCTTCAGTGGGCAAGAGCTGTTGGCATCTCCAGGGGTCTTCCCGGGTCACCGCCATACTTTGCCAGATTTAGGAAATAAAAATACAGGTTAGATTTCAGATAAACACCAAAAAATTGTTATATATCCAAAATCGAAATGCAGCTGGGTGTGTTTTATCAAGATGGAGACTCACGTCTGCCCCTTCACCGAAGGGAAAGAGGGTGGAGGGAGTCCTGCAACCTCCCTCCTGAGCAGTCAGGATGGTCTTCGGAGGAGGGCAAGAGCCCCCTCCACTGGGCCCTCTGGGTTCGGTGTTCAACACTTACCTTAATTAATTTTGTCCTGGATGTGCACACCAGGTGTTCTGGATCTGATCTTACTAATTACCTTAAGTATTAATTAGCTTAAGTAAGTATGTACACATTGTCCCGCCCCTGCCCTCCCTCCTCCGGGCTGGGGAATGTTGTAGGTGGACATTAGGAGAAGAACAAGGAAAAATAATAATAACAACATTTTTCTGCTTTTAAAGCAAAAGGAGGTGGACTCCCTTTCCCTTCCTGAAAGGGTCTCTCTTGAAGCATAATGGGCGGGACCCTAACTCCAGCCTTTTGAGGTGTGAATAGTTTTTCCTGCTGGGAATGTAGCAGGTGCTCCCCTAGCACCTGGGAAGCTCTGGGTTTCCTCCCCAGGACCCCACCCCACCCCAAACAAGCAAAAGACACCACTGATTAAATAAAGTCTCTCTAGGTGCGAGATAGAGAGCCCCAGGTGTCTCCCAAGCCACTTAAGGCCTTAAAGGTCTGGGACTTCCTCCTTTGGTGTGTAAATACTCCTCCCTGGAGTCTTGCAGGCACAGTGGGGTGAAACCTAGACCTCTGCCTAGCCTTTTGTCCCTCTCTGGGAGGGAAGAGGACTTTATTATCCTTTGAGATAAAAGCAATTAACTAGACAAATGGCTATCAAGGTA